TCTTTTTCACATGTCCTACTAGTAAGCCAGGTGTCCCCCATCTTCTATTTGTGCATCTGGTTCTTCCTACCTAAGTGCAGACCTTACATTTGTCCCTACTGAAATTAAAATTGTTAGCTTAGGCCCAGTTCTCCAATCTGTTAAGGTCACTTTGAATTCTGATTCTGTCTTCTGCAGCATAAGCCATCCCTTCCAGTTTGGTGTCATCTGCAATTCGATGAGCATCCCCTCAATGCTTTCATCCAAGTCATTTCTAAAGGTGTTGAACAACAGGCTCTGGACAGAATCCTGCAGAACCCCACTTGTCCCTTTTTTCCCAGGATGACGAGGAACCATTAACGAGTATTCTTTGGGTTCAGTCAGTCAACCAGCTACAAATCCACCTAACAGTTACCTTGTCCAACCCACATTTTACCAGCTTCCTTACAAGAATATTATGGGGGACTTTGTCAAAAGCCTTACTGATCAAGATACACAGCACTCCCCTGATCCACCAAGCTTGTAACTTCATCAAAAAAAGAAATGAGATTCTTCTGGCATGACTTATTTTTGAGAAACCCATTCTGGCTCTTAGTAATCACAGAATCCTTTCCTAAATTCTCACAGTCCAACTGTTGAATTATCTGTTCTAGGACCTTCCCTGGTATCGATGTCAAGCTCACCAGTTGGTAGTTACCCGGGTCTTCTCCCCCCCCCCTTTTTTGAAGATGAGGAGTAACCTCGTCTTCTCCCTCTCCCTCTCCCTCCCTCCAAGTCCCATTCTCTATTATAGTCCTTTTATGACAAAAATCTATTTGTGCAGGTGATATAGCCCACAAATCACAAGCTTAATTACTCAACTTATTTACTTAATTACTTCTGACGATGCTTAATTGCATTTTGTTTCTTAATTGCTCAGTGCAGGGCTAGCTTACAGTTAGCATGCCCACTCCCTTCAGAATGATTCTGAGTTCTACGCTCATTCCAATCATAAAACCTTGGACATTTCATTAGATTCATGTGCCTCTGACAGTTTCTATATATTTTCTGATAGCATTTCTTGTCAACTTTGGAAGTCACCACTTTGATTCTTCACATAGTGGTCTCTTAAAGTGATCACATAAAATTCATAACAGAATCCTATAAAGAACACATAACAAAGCAGTAGAGGAAAATTACTAGTAGCCTCAATCAAGTCTCTCCTCTAAACATCACCAAAAAAAGATGTATTTTAACTAATCATCTAAAACTACAGAGAGAGTAGGATAGATGTGCCTCAACCCAAAGTTAAAGAATACTGCTGTAGTACAGGCTCCCACAACCTGTTCCCTAAGATATTTTTGTAAAAGAATTGCCATTATTACTAATATTATTCATAGTGGTAGTCGGTGCTTTTTTCAGTCAGAGCGCACTGGAGCACAGTTGAAGCACCTTTCAGGTGGGTGCCGTTGTAGGCTGGTGCTCCGCCTGCCCTCTTCTTGCCTTTATGTACTTCTCAGAAGCCCTAAACGAACATTTGAAGTCATAACAGAAGCTGGGCAGCATGTGCAAGTCTATACTTTTTTAAAGGTCTATGACTCCACCTAGCAACTAGCCACTCCTAGTCATCACCGGGGCGTGGCTAATTTGTGTTTCCTTTTCTTCAGTCAGTCTCCTGTGTAGTAATGGTGGCCTTTAAACTTTCCAGCTAGGCATCTACTGTTGCATTCACACACACGATTGTGCAAGGGCCCTTCCAAGCTGCCCTAGCCATCCGCATGAATCTAAGAAAAATGAGGGAGGTGGGGGCCCCTTTGTTTTACTTGCAGGGTAAAATAATCAGGGGCATTGGAATCTGGCCCGAGTCACCTGCTGACTTACTGTAACAACTTCATGGTGAGTTCTGGCACCTATTTTCCTGAATAAAAGCACTGGTGGTAGTAGAAGTAATGTATATATTGCTTGATACCTACTTTCTAAACAGAAAAAATCAAAAGTTGCACAACGTTGTTAAAACACAGAATGAAAAATACAACATAATTAAAATGCAAGAAATAAAACAATCCCAGAAGATGGGGGACACCTGGCTTGTGAAAAGAAGTTTAATGTAAGTCAATAGCTAACAATTCTAGGCTGCATCAACTTAAGTATAATGTCCAGATCTTAGTACCACTCTATTCTCCCATGGTCAAACCACACCTGGAGTACTGTGTCCAGATCTGGGTGCCACAATTTAGGAAGGATATCGAGAAGCTGGAACATGTGCAAGGGAGGGTGACCAAGATGATCAAGAGTCTCGAAACCAAATATTTTGAGGAACGGTTGAGGGAGTTGGATATGTTTAGGCTAGAGAAGAGGAGACTGTGAGGAGAAATGATAATCTTTAAATATCTCAAGGGCTGTCACATGGAAGATGGAGCAAGCTTGTTTTCTCCTCCGGATGGTTGGACCCGAACCAATGGCTTCAAGTAACAAGAAATGAAATTCCAATTCAATATCAGGATGGAGCAGAGTTATGTTCAGTCTGCATTTTAAAATGAACCGATCTAACAGGAAACTAAGCCTTATGACAATCAGTTGAAGGAGCTGGGTATGTTTAGCCTGAAAAAGAGGAGACTGAAAGGAGATATGATAACCAGTTTCAAATACCTGAAGGGATGTCACATGGAAGAGGGAATGAGCTTGTTTTCTCATGCTCCGGAGGGTAGGACTCAAACCAATGGCTTCAAGTTACATGAAAGGAGATTCTGACTAAATATAGTGGTACCTCGGGTTACATACGCTTCAGGTTACAGACGCCGCTAACCCAGAAATAGTACTTCGGGTTAAGAACTTTGCTTCAGGATGAGAACAGAAATCGTGCTCCAGTAGTGTGGCAGCAGTGGGAGGCCCCATTAGCTAAAGTGATGCTTCAGGTTAAGAACAGTTTCAAGTTAAGAACGGACCTCCAGAACGAATTAAATACTTAACCCGAGGTACCACTGTATACAGAAGAACTTTCTGACAGTAAGAGTTGTTTGGCAGTGGAAATGACTCCCATGAGAGGTTGTGGCTCTCCTTCTTTGGAGGTTTCAAAGCAGAGGTTGGATGGCCATCAGTCATGGATGCTTTAGCTGAGATTCCACCATTGCAGGCGGTTGGACTAGATGACCCTTGGTGTGCCCTAACAACTCTACAATTCTATTCTTTGAACTCTCAGGAAGAGCTTTCTGACAGTAAGAGCTGTTCGACGGTGGAACAGAGTCCCTTGGAAGGTGGTGGAGGTTTTTTAAGCAGATGCTTAAGTTTCAGATGCTTAAGTATTGGGTGCTGCATTGCAGAGGGATTGGATTAGATCAGGGGTCGGCAAGGTTTATCTTGCCTGGGCTGGATCGGGCCCATGGAAATCCCTCTGTCACACATGCGCGCACACAATTTTTGGTGTCTGTGCATGTGCAGACGCAATTTTCGGCACAGTGGAAGCGAGTCCCCTCATTGCGCTGCGCTGGTTTAGTGCAGCGTAAGAGCAGGCGGCTCGGTTCAGGGGTGGCTCGTGGACCGGTCAAACGACCTCCGGGGGCTGCTTCCAGCCCATGGGCCTTAGGTTGGTGACTCCTGGATTAAATGATCCTCAGTGTCCCTTCCAACTCTACAATTCTATGATTAAAACATTAAAATGCAAACCACCAGTGTTGAAATGAGCAACAAAATGATCCCATTAAAGATGCTGTGCAATTAAAACAAAATACTTGTGTTAAGAGGTCAAGAAACTGCTTGTGTGTAAACAGGGCAAGACGAATGGCAGTGAGGATGGGGGCCTCTCACATTTCAGCAAGGAGCATATTCTGCAACACCCGCATTACCAGTGAAGAAGCTGATAAGCATCATGCCTTTGTAAGGCTAACTAGGGCCTATTTGTTGATCTTAACGCCCTTACTGGACAACAAAGAGAACACCTTGCATTTAGGTAGCCTAGCCACTGCATATTTTGTTGTACTACAACTCCCATCATCCCTGACCATTGGCTAAGCTGCCTGGGGTGATGGGACGTGCAGTCCAACTACATCCTGGGACCCAGAGTTTGTTTATTTATTTCATAAAAATGATATACTGCTTGATTATAAAAAAGAAAAGAATAAAAGGTAAAGCAAAAAATTCACAACCCTACTTTAAAACAAACGGAAGTTAAATTACTGAAAAGGATTAAAATCACCTCAACTTTCTAAGCATCTGGGTAGGCTTGTTTAAACAAGAATGTTTTTAGCAGGCACCAAAAAGAGAACACTGAAGATGGCTTCTTGATCTCAATAGGCAAGAAGTTCCAAAGTTGTAGTCACTGCCATACTAAACAATCAGGTTCTTACCAGTGTGGAACTGGCATTATGTGACACCTGTAGTAGTGCCAACTTCACTGGTTGATCCAGTCATGTGGGCACATGTGGGGTAAGGCAGCCTTGTAGAGAACACTTTGGAGAACACTTTGCTGGAGAATAACCCCTTGAACATACTGAGTTATTATGATCAAGAAAGCAGTCTCCAAGGAAGAGACAGAGACATTGTGCCTTGAAGATCAAATGCACATCAGTGCACATGCATGAACATCAAGGCCTCATGTCACACACAGTCTGCCATTCCATTTGCTGTAGCTTTTGAGGTTTGTTTCCCCACTGCTGATGTGCTGTTATAAGGACAAATATGCATTTTTATGAAACTCTCAATCTGTCTATCTTTATGAAACATCTTTAGCTGAAAGCACAGACTTTCTCTTTGTTTTCCAATGAGCACAGTCAGGCTAGCATATACAGAAGGCAGAATGACAGCCTTCAGCAATGGAAAGTGTTTGGGTGTGAGTTCCTGAATACTTTTGGATGAACACAAGTGGAAACTGTAGGCAAATATCCTATTGATAATTTAAAAACAAGCACTGAAACCGCTCTTCTTTGCCCCTGTTTTTCTCTTTCCTTTCTTCCCTCCCCACCTTTCCTCTCCTCCCTCTTTCCCCTCCCTATACAGGACTCCACAGAATGGAGCAAGAATGAGAGGAAAAAGGCAGACAGAAAAGCATGAACTGGAGGCTTGCTGAGTTCCTCTACTTCCTCTTTATATGGGACCATATAACAGTACAGCCCTCCCACCAGCAACCCGCTGCGACCAACCAACATGTCTCCAAGGAATTTGATTGGCTTATTTCAGACAGAGGGCCCTTCCACCACTCGCGGAGCTACTTATCCTTTGTGGAAAGACATCGTCAGGGATTTACAACCCGGTATAAAATATACAGGTAAGGAGGAATCTTTTGTTTGGGGGTGCTTTCCATTAAACCAATAGCTTCCCTTTGATGTCTTTTGAGTGGTACATGGATGATAAAGGTAAAGGGACCCCTGACCATTAGGTCCAGTCGTGGCTGACTCTGGGGTTGGGGCGCTTATCTCGCTTTACTGGCCGAGGGAGACGGCTTCTGGGTCATGTGGCCAGGATGACTAAGCCGCTAATGGCGAATCAGAGCTGCGCACGGAAACGCCATTTACCTTCCCGCCAGAGCAGTTCCTACTTATCTACTTGCACTTTGATGTGCTTTCAAACTGCTAGGTTAGCAGGAGCAGGGACCGAGAAACGGGAGCTCACCCTGTCGCGGGGATTCAAACCCACAGCTGCAAACTAGAGGTCGGGTGGTGCCTGACTTGTGAAAAGGAGCTCAGAATTGCTGAATATGACTGGCAGTATGGCAGCTGCAAAAATGGATAATGCAGTCTTTAGCTGCATTGATAGGGCTATAGTTTCCCAGTTGTGAGAAGTGAGAGTTCCATCCCCCGCCACGCTCACTATTCTTGAAGGACTGTCACATGAGGCTTGTTTGTGTGTTGCACTGAACACAGGAACAAGCTGTCTCTACACCATAGCTGCTAATTTTTCCCTTATCTTGCGAGGAATCCTATTTGGAATAAGGGAAAAGGGAAACGTTTACAGCTATTCTCTACACATGTGAAAGAGTGGACACTTGTTGATTTGCACAGCTCCTCTATTGTGTACAGATTCATAAACTGTATATTCATTGAAGGATACATGTGGATTATGGTAGAAGCGTGTATCTTGACTCTCTGTGTACATGGATACATGGACTGTACACTTGTAGCATCTGAACACCTCTATAGAAGAGGACAAAGACATTTGGACTGCAGGGGGTTGGAACAGATGAACCTTGGGGTTCATTCTAACCCCACAATTCTTTGATTCTAAGTGCTCTACTGCCCTAAAGGAGAGAATTAGATCAAATTCAGAATGGCAGATTTCTATTGGATCAGCTGGAAAAACTGTTTGGCCATAGAAGTGGTTGGCAAGGAGAGAGGACTTTTGTGCAAAGAGAGCCCCCCCCCCAAAAAAAAACTTGCTTTAGTAAAGGCTCCCAGGGTGGGTGGGTGTGAGTTAAACCAGAGCCTCTGGTGATGTGGTTTTAGTCTACTATTGCTGTTTTGGTTTTTTTATTAAACTCTTTTATGATTTTGCTTTATGATACTCTTCCCATCCCATTTACTGCTGATTGTTTACTTTTATTGTTAGGGTTAGTTTTAATTTTGTTGAGATATAAATTGGAAGCCACCTCAAACTTTGCTAGGTGTAAGTGGTCAAATAAGCAAATAAGTAAGCCATCAAAGCAAGTAAATAAATAACCATGCAACCCCAGGTCAAAATATGTCAATGGACAAGGCAAATGAGGCTATAGAATCACTTTCTATTCATTGGTTTATAATGTGATATTTTATGGAGAACTTGGGGTCTTGAACCTTGTGTCAAGACACGGAGAATGGAAGAGGATTGCTTTCAGAAGGCATGGTACATTCATGGGAGTTGGTGTTAGTTCCATGCTGTTTTGGGTGGTATGAAATATTTGTTATGCCAGTGATGTGGGGTCTGAATTACGATGCCCCTCCCTGCAATTATTTCTCTGTGTATTGAATTCCTTCATAATGGAAGGAATTTGAAGCTTTTTAGTTTAGAGAAAAAGCAGGTAAGAGGGGCATGAAAGAAGTGTATAAAATTATTCATTGTGTGGAGACAGTGTATAGGAAAAAGTCCCCCCTTCCCCTCTCATAATACAAGAGATTCTTACTGGTGTAAGAATGCAAATACCTATTTCAACAGTTTTTAAAAATCACCACCTGTGCATAGCTTACCTTTAGAAGTTTTTAGAGACAAGGTTGTATAACCTAGAACAACTATGATATTCAAAGATGCTTAGGTAGATGTGGATCATCTCCCATCTCTGTTTCCCTTTTAACAAAGAAATCACTTGTAAACAAGAAAAAAAAGTAAAGTTTACTCACATATAAGTCTTGCCAGGATTAGGGATGCAAAACAGTGAGGCAATAGTTCTTATAGTTACAATAGTCCAATTCAAAGTGATGTGTAACTCTGTGGAGAAGACCCTACAGGCAATCTATCCCATTAAAGGTAAGAAGAGTGTGCTGTGATTAGGGTTGGGCAATGTTGGGTTTGCAACATCGTGATGTATCACCAACCAAACATCGCAGTTTGGCGATAAACCATGATGTTGAAAGCAACTGCATCAGCCCCTGCCAGTGCATCTGGCCCCAGCCTGATGCTCAGCTGGGGTGTGTGTGTGTGGAAAAGCTCCTGTCCCCAACTGAGTGAGCCCTGGTGTCCTTGCCACTCGCACACGAGTGCAAAAACAAACCCCTGTGTTGCAATGAGAACCAATCACAGAAATATAGACACAACATGTAGGTTAATAACTGTTAAAGCATATGTAATAAAATGATAATATTATTCAAAAAGTAGAAATAAATCTATTAGAATTCATATATACAATGTAACAGACTAGTGGTGCAGAACGTTAAGCCATGTGTTCAAGATAGGCGTCAAAGGTCAGTCTCACAATGGTTATGCAAAGGTTTCAACAGAAGGTCTCAAAAGTAGAGTTTTCTCAATAGTTTTTCAAAAGTTTCAATGGAAGACATCCCAAAAGTCTCAAGGACAGTGTTTCCAGAATGATACTACAGTTGTACCTCAGGTTACATATGCTTCAGGTTACATGCGCTTCAGGTTAAAGACTCCGCAAACCCAGAAATAGTGTTTCAGGTTAAGAACTTTGCTTCAGGATGAGAACAGAAATCGTGCTCTGGCGGCGCGGCAGCAGCAGGAGGCCCCATTAGCTAAAGTGGTGCTTCAGGTTAAGAACAGTTTCAGGTTAAGTACGGACCTCCAGAACGAATTAAGTACTTAATCTGAGGTACCACTGTACTGTTTGTGATAGTTTTCTTCAGCTGAAAATACACGAGTGGCTGGGACGGCGGGGCTCCTTCCTGAGGCTCCCTCTGCTTTTGCCGGCTTGGGGGGGTGGGGGTGGGCGTGAGCAACCTCGCTCGCTCACCCCACCCCACTCCCTGAAGACAGACGAAGCATTGCCTTTGTCCATGCAGGTGCGCTGGCTCTTTCCTCCTGGGGTGGTCATTCACCCTGGGTAGAAAGACACAGCCCACCCTCCCGGGGTGAAGTCCACAAGGCAGGGTGGCCTGACGTTGTTGGTGCACCGCCTGGCTAAGCCTCACCCCCCCCCCCATGGCAAGGCTGAAGCAAGGCTGAAGGCTTGCCTCAGCCACAGCTGCCTTGCTGGGGTTGGGGAGTCTAATGGAACTCGCACCCACAGCTGTCCCCCCTCAAGGGAGAAGTGTGACAGAGTCCGCGCCTTCCCAGCTGAGCAGCCAGGACTCTCTCAGCCAAGGAGGAGGAACACCTCAATGGAGCCCCCACCCCAGCGCAGGCTCGTGTGAGCTGGTGGCAGGTTGAGGGCTCTGTAAAAGCACTTGGCTGAGGCGAGGGCAATGGTGCACCCCTCAGCCAAGCAGTTTAAAGAGGCAGAGGGAGGAACAAACTATATCAGCACCTCACTGATGTAGCTTGTTTCTCCTGCCAGTATGAGAACAGATGATGGTTGCTTCACTCAGTGGTATATCCACTGAAACCGCTGCCTTCTGAGTCCCCTTGCCTCCAGCACCCGGCTACAGCTTGTTTCTCCCTTGGCGCTGGTAGAAGAGGGACTCAGAAAGAAGTTTCACCCATGATATACCACTGAGTGAAACTGCCATCACAGTCTGCCCCTCGTACTGGTCCTGGGTGATATGTTGATATATCGCCCAGGCCTAGCTGCAACAGGAAGATGATTACCGTATTTTTTGCACCATAACACTCACTTTTTTCCTCCTAAAAAGTAAGGGGAAATGTCTGCGTGTTATGGAGGGAATGCCTACGGGTGGCATGCCTACAGATTTTCCTCCTCTAAAAACTACGTGCGTGTTATGGTCGGGTGTGTGTTATACAGCGAAAAATACGGTAAGTTTTCTGTTTTTCCTCCTTCTGCCATAAAGGTTTAGAGGATATAACATCAGACAGTCCCTTGTCTGTAATTCTCTAGCAGCCGTGCATTTGCGATTTTGGCTTCAGATTCTCCCACAATTTTGACAAAGCATATAAGTGAATTGTAGAATTTGCTCCCAGAATGTAGTAACAACCCTCAAATTGAAGGGATTTAAAAGAGGATTCAACAAATTCATAGACTATAAAGTTATCAGTTGCTGGCTACATTCTCCCTCCATTGCTGGAGGCAGAATGGCCCTGCAGAAGAGTTTGCTTGTTTATTTTATTTATTTCATAAAATTTATACACTGCTTGATCATTTCTTTTTAAAAAAAGGTTTACAAAAGATAAAACGGTAAAATAAAGGAAAAAATTGCAAATGTACTGGTACTTTCAAACATGCGAAAGTTAAGAATAGTAAAACTGATTAAAATCACCTCAGTTTCTTAGCATCTTGGTAAAAGGTGAAGGTAAAGGGTAAAGGGACCCCTGACCATTAGGTCCAGTTGTGACTGACTCTGGGGTTGCGGTGCTCATCTCGCTTTATTGGCTGAGGTAGCCGGCGTACAGCTTCCGGGTCATGTGGCCAGCATGACTAAGCCACTTCTGGCAAACCAGAGCAGCACATGGAAACGCCGTTTACCTTCCCAGTGGAGTGGTACCTATTTATCTACTTGCACTTTGACGTGCTTTCAAACTGCTAGGTTGGCAGGAGCAGGGACTGAGCAATTGGAGCTCACTCCGTTGTGAGGATTCGAACTGCCGACCTTCTGATCGGCAAGCCCAAGAGGCTCAGTGGTTTAACCCACAGTGCCACCTCCGTCTGGGTAGGCTTGTCTAAACAAGAAGGTTTTTAGCAAGTGCCAAAAAGAGTACATTGAAGGCCCCTGCTTGATCTCAGTAGGCAGGGAATTGTTGGTGTGGAGAGTGCTGTTGCACTCAGGTCCTACTTGTGAACTTCCCATAGGCATCTAGTTGGCCACTGGGAACAAAGTCCTGGACAAGATGGGCCTTTGACCTGATCAAGCAAGCTCTTATTAGGCTCTTCTACATGGGGATAACCCTACCCTCCAGAAAATTACGCTGAAATGGCAGGATTGCTATGTCTCCTCTTAATCTTTCCTCTTGTTTTAACACACCCAGTTTTTTTAAACCAACCTTCTTAGGACTTGGTTTCTAGGCCCTCCTCATCCTGGTTGTCCACCTCTGAACATGCTCCAGTTTGTCTATGTATTTTTCTTAAAAGGTGGCACCCAGAACTGGACACAACGTTCTAGAGGGTGGAAGTTGTGGAATCTTAGTGATAGCAAGCTCTGCAGTTGACTGCATTGTGGAAGTGAACGTGAATATTCCCCTTGCCGGTCACGTACAAAGATGGTAATGGACATCTTCATTTGGAGAGGAAATTGCAGAGTAGGAATTTTTATTATAAATAAATGGAAAAAATTAAAAAATCAACAACATGCACAGAGGCTACATAACTCTAAATATAGATGAAGCAAACATTTGTGGGCTCCATCTGGAAAGATTATTTCCTCTTATAATTGGCTGACTAAATAACTGTTAGGGTTGGTTTAGTTATAATTATTTCTTTAAAGGTTCCCCCCCTCCATGGTTAAAAATTGCTTATTTCACAGTAAAAATGTGCCATTTCATGGTACATTGATCAAAAAAGGGGGGGGGAAGGAAAATAAGAAAGACATTTTTGTGGGTAAATGGAATACATTTATTAATATCAGAAAACAGTTCTGTCATACTTTCCCATATTTATGACGGATGTTCATGCACTAAATTGACATGTTTTGTGAGTTACAAATATGACTGGAAGGAGGTGTAAATGATTTTTATGGGTGGAAAATGAATGCTTGCCACAAGATGTTAGAAACAGCCCAGCTGGATCAGAACAAAGACCTATTATTACCACCACCACCACCACATTTGCTGGATGCTGCATAAGATAGGTTCTCTGGGCATTTTGCCAAATCAGTCACAGTGTACCTGCCACTTATGTGAGGTCCACATGCAAAGGCAAAACCTTGCAAAGTCAGGAGCCCCTGAAACCACCACTGCCGGTTGCAAGGGGGACCCTGAGACCCTGGGGCCTTCCCAGACCTTCCCAGACCCCCGGTAAGCGAGGAGGTGCCTTCCTTACTGGCCTCTAGGAGGATTCTAGTGCTGTCACACCTCCTTCCAAAAGTCTGTTAAAGAAGGTGCTGCCATGCTTACTTGGCCTTGGGAAGCTGACACAATGGCTCTGGGACACTGTCAGAACTCTCTCGCTCTCTTCCCAAAGTCTGGTAAGGGAGGAAAACCTGCACAAGTGGGGTATAAAGTAATAAATGGAGAGCAGGGAGTGGTAGGTTTCCTGGCTTTCCATCAGAAATTCAGCAGGCACTTCACTTTAAATAATTTTATTAATTGTTATTCTATGTTATATATATATTACACAGGAAAAATACAGGAAAAAGCATACATTCAATTAAAGTTCCCCCCTGTCCCCACCGTAGCAGCCCCAACTATATCCCGTTGTATTAGTATTAATAAAATATAACCTTACTTCAATAGCTGATGACTTAAAAAGTGTTGCTTCACAGGTTTTCTTGTGTTTTGTGTAGTTTGTAGATGAAGTGAAAGTGGAAAACGTCTTTGCAGATTATTGTGTTGTCTTCTTTTCTTGTACTTTTTTGTCAACTTTTCCATCAAGATTAAATCCCAAACATAAGTGTATCAGACTTCATATATGTTCAGTGTCCTCCAGTGCCTAGCAACAGCAAAACATGCTGCAGTTACAAGATGCAGAATTAAGTCTCTGTTCCTAAGTTCTTGTGCTTCATCTGCAAATATTGAAAGTAGTGCCATTTTGGGATTTATTTCTTTTTTTAAAAAAAAATGTTTTACAGGTGATTTTTTAAATGTTTTTTTTAGAGTGTGTGTGTGTGTGTGTGTGTGTGTGTGTGTGTGTGTCTTGTACACCAATGTGATATGTGTTTTAATATTGTAACCTGCCCGGGGTTCTTAGGATGAAGGGCAGGTAATTAATACAGCAATGATAGTATTGTGGCTACCCAGCCGTATAGCATTAGCTACCCAGCTCTGCTGCCGATGTGACCCTATCCCATCCCGCTTCCTCTGAGGCCAGAAGAGGAGAACCAGACCAGGCACTGTGGGAGCCCCTGCCAGGGTGCCTGCTTCACATCCCCTCAAAAATCCATGCCCTGACCCACGGCCCCACTGGCACCACCCACGCTATGCCCCTGGGTCTCCCCATAGGCTTCTGGTTGGCCACTGTGAGAACATGAGAACATGGAAACTGTTTTCATGAACACCCCATGGGATGTTGGCAAAACTACAGAAAGGCAAGCAGGTCATTCTGAGGGATTTTAATCTGAGACCTTTCACATATAAGGCATGCTATGTACCATTGAGATACACTTCTTCCAGAAAGAATGGATGTTGCAGCACCAAAGGGAACTTTGGACAGGATGTGGACAGGCTGCTAGGACGAGTGAAACCAACCACCTGTCTCCTTGATCCTTGCCCATCCTGGCTTTGTGGGGTGGTGAATGCTTCTCTCTGTGAGGGAGCCTTCCCAGACCCACTGAAAGAGGCGGTTATTAAACCGCTTCTTAAAAAACAATCTATAGATGCGGCTAATATGGCCAACTATCACCCAGTGTCAAATCTTCCATTCTTGGGCAAGGTGATTGAGCGAGTGGTTGTTGAACAACTCCAGGCATGCCTGGAGGATGTGGACCACTTGGATCCCTTTCAGTCAGGATTCAGGCCTCATCATGGTAATGAAACTGCCTTGGTCACACTGGTCGATGATCTCTGGCGGGCTAGGGACAAAGGTGAAATCTGTTTCCTAGTTCTGCTGGATCTCTCAGCAGCTTTTGATACCATCAACCATAACATCCTTCTGGACCATCTAGAGGGGCAGGGAGCTGGGGGCACTGTTATACAGTGGTTCCGCTCCTTCCTCCTGGACCATATTCAGAAATTGGTGGTGGGGGATGAGTGTTCAGACCCTTGGACTCTCACTTGTGGGGTGCCTCAGGGTTCTGTCCTCTCCCCCATGCTTTTCAACATCTACATGCAGCCGCCGGGAGAGATCATCAGGGGGTTTGGGCTGGGTGTTCATCAATATGCGGATGATACCCAGCTCTACCTCTCTTTCATATCAGAACCAGTGAAGGCAGTGAAGGTCCTGTGTGAGTGTTTGGAGGCCGTTGGAGGATGGATGGTGGCTAACAGATTGAGGTTGAATTCTGACAAGACAGAAGTACTGTTTTGGGGAGACAGAAGGCAGGCAGCTGTGGAGGACTCTCTGGTCCTAAATGGGGCAACTGTGCCCCTGAAGGACCAGGTGAGCAGCCTGGGAGTCATTTTTGACTTGTAGTTGTCCATGGAGGCTCAGGTCAATTTTGTGTCCAGGGCAGCTATTTACCAGCTTCATCTTGTACGCAGACTGAGACCCTATCTGCTCACGGACTGCCTTGCCAGAGTGGTGCATGCTCTGGTTATCTCTTGTTTGAACTACTGCAATGCGCTCTATGTGGGGCTACCTTTGAAGGTGACCCGGAAACTACAACTAATCCAGAAAGCGGCAGCTAGACTGGTGACTGGGAGCGGCCACCGAGACCACATAACACCGGTCTTGAAAGACCTACATTGGCTCCCAGTATGTTTCCAAGCACAATTCAAAGTGTTGGTGCTGACCTTTAAAGCCCTAAACGGCCTCGGCCCAGTATATCTGAAGGAGCATCTCCAACCCCATTGTTCTACCCGGACACTGAGGTCCAGCGCCAAGCGCCTTCTGGCAGTTCCCTCACTGTGAGAAACCAAGTTACAAGGAACCAGTCAGAGGGCCTTCTCGCTAGTGGCACCCGCCCTGTGGAACGCCTTCCCATCAGATGTCAAAGAGAACAACAACTAACAGACTTTTAGAAGACATCTGAAGGCAGCCCTGTTTATGGAAGCTTTTCATGTTTGATGGATTACTGTATTTTAATATTTTGTTGGAAGCCACCCAGAGCGGCTGGGGAAGTTCAGCCAGATGGGTGGGGTATAAATAATAAATTATTATTATGATATTCTGGTGAAAAACTTTCTCCCATAAGGACTGGGGCTGAATGGACCCTTTTTGAGCCCTTGCTTCCAGACCAGTTCCTTAGGGTCTACCTTCTTTGTTGGAGAACTGCAGGCTCTTTAACAGCCATTGCTCCGGCCTGAAGATGGTTGCTTAATCCTTTGATCCAAGGCATGGGCATAACGAAGGGGGGGGGCAGGGGGTAGCTCCCTCCCATCAGTGAAAATCAATAAAAATTGCAGGTTCTGCTCCCCTCCAAAAGCCTGCTCTCCCTAACAAAAACCCTGGTTACACACATGTTCCAAGGTCTCCCACACATGGTGTTCTCCCTACACCATTGGAATAGTGAGGTGTGGGAGACACTCAGTTCCTTGGAACCAGAGGAAGATACCTGTGAGGGTCATGGCTTGGGACTCTCAGATCTGGTTCAGTGGATGCCTGCCTGCCAGCCAGCATCAGATTTAATGGGTTGTTGATCTCATTAGGCTGAGCGCCAAGAACCCAATCCAACTGATCTGAAGGTGGCATTGTAGCCTTTGACAGTGTCCCAGTCCTTGCTAGACTCCAGGGTCTTGATACATAATAAAAACCAGGAAGCTGTCGTGGTCCCAGCCCAGGAACCCTCAGGCAAGGATGAAATGGATCCACTCCTTAGTCTTATCATTAAATGCTGTGGCACCAGAGTAATATGAACCCTGAGGAGATGCATCTTCTGTCAGCATTTTGATGACTGGTCCACAGACTCCTTGAGGATCAGGACAGTCCTGAGTAATGTTCCTCATGGCATTCCCCACAGATCAAGTTTCTACTGCTAGAAAATGACCCTTTAACTGGGCAGATGGGAGTGGAGCTTCCATCTTGATTCCCTAGAGCCTAGACCAAACCACAAAGCTCTGTCAGTTGCTCCATGACACTGCTTAGACATTGATTTGATCCCTGCATTGCAGGGAGTTGGGCTATATTACCTTTCAGGTCCTGTGCTACTCTACAATTCTATGACTCCATGCCCATTTTAAATTAATGTGTCAACTGTATGGCTTCTGACAACCCTTGCAAGGCTGCCTCAGTCCTTGTACAAGGTCCTAAAATCTCCTTGCATTTCATCCCCTCTTTTCCGTAATCCAGGGCCTGCAATTTTCATCCTGCCTGGGCCTTCACTTTTCTTTGGCGGTGGACATCACCATGACCCTGAACAGAAGTCTCTAGCTAACTGCAGTTTCCAAACAGGGAAACTATAGTTACCATATTTGGAACAAGGCAGGATCTTCAAATATCTTCAAACACCTTGCCCCAACCATCACCAAGCAGTAGTGCCTTATTCTGAAGTTGCTGGCTATAGTTTCCTTGTTCTGATAAAATGGGAAACAAAGATGAATCAGAGGTTTGTGGTCTGCATGTTCATGCTGCAAAGGAGAGGAGAAAAGGGGCTGTATGCATGGACAAAAAAAGCCGTGTTCCTATCTCAGCTTGAGAAGCCAGTATATAATTGCCCAAATGCATTCATTGTCTCACACATATGATGCATTTTCTCATAAATTACACCTCATTCCTAATCAGTTTAAGCTCATTGGTTGTGTTTCTTTTTTTAAATTTTACTTTCCATTTTGTGAGTCACTCTTTCCTTTAAGCTGTTCTCAGTAGGTTTGAAATGAAGAAGCTGTTTCGCCCTCCTCCCAACTGCCACATCCAGTCACTAATTGCCACAGTGTACCTTGTTTAGTTGTGATTTCCCTGGAGTGCCTTGTTGTGAGGGAACATGGACACAGTGTGTTAAAATCATGTCATTTACACTGGAAGCCCTCAGAGATAAAATGGTGTTGTTGGCATTACGTGACGTACATAAAGTACAAGCCACCAGCTTTGCTAGAGTGAGGAGGCTCAAAGCAAGTGGGGGGAAAATGCTTTCTAATTGGCATTTCTGCCCAAACTGGATTTGCAGGTAAGTTTCTCAGACCAGGGATACTTCTGAATCCCTTCTCACTTGGATTACTTGGAGTTGTTCTAAAGGTGTAACTGATCTGTGGGGATAGATGGCTCAGTCTTGATGTACTTTATGCCCCTTTGCCTGTGCCTGCATGTCCGTTGATTCCCATTTCCATGTGGACTACCTATCTTGAAAAAACCCACACCATTTAACCTCCCCCCCCCCCAACATATGGATAAAGCATGTACCTCATTAAAACTCACTGCTTATCATTCAGAACCTTTTGATTCCGAATCCAAAGAATGTGGTCATGGTCATGGATGACTTTAAGACAGGATATAACAATCTTAAATATATGGCTTTAAGAAGTGGGTCTAGTACTCTGCCCCATTCGTCTCACGTGTGGGCTGAATAACAAGTTGATGGGGTGATTCAGAGTCTCCCACAATCCCACACTGAAGCACAGTGTCAATACCCAGCCATCACAAATTGGATCGAGGCCCCACAAAGTTTTGTATCAGCTCTGGTTTTCCAGTGCAGTAAGCCCACAATTTATGTGGGGATTATGTTCCTGGGATCAGGCCTAAAGCCAATATCACATATAGTCAAAACACATTGGGTTCAGTAATGGGTGGGATTGCCAAAGTCTTTTTTCCCAGATGCCCGCCCCCTTCCACTCCCCAATTTAAATGCATGTAAGTTGTGGGCTTACCATTTCTCTCTATTTCTCTCTATGAGCTTTGCAAGGAGTGAAGCTGTACAAAAAGTTGCTTGCAGAGCACTGAAGAGCTCTAGATAATGAAAAAAAACCAAACATGCCATGTTGGTTTGCCAAAACAAAGCAAAGAACTCTTCAGAATTCTGCAGGCAGTATTCTAGACAGCCTCATACTACAAAGCTATCAGAGGCCTGTAAATCCCTACCGGAGGATGCAAAGACATCAGAAAGTAAGGCCAGTGCAAAGTTGCCAAGTTGTTGGTTTTTTTAAATATATATATATATATATATATATATATATATATGCAAGTAATAATAAACTTCATTCAACCATTTAATTATTTTAAGGTAATAAAGACACACCTATTCTCCCCTTTATTATGGAAGAAAATGTATCCCTTTTATTTTTACCACAAAAAGCCCCTGAAGCTACTTGTCTGCAATTTGGCAGGGCTCAATTCACTCTCCAAGGGCTCATATACCCATAGATTTCATCCTCTTTGGTGAAAAAGGCAGGAAAGTCATAGCCATTTTTATATTCTCCATTACAGTGACTGGGAAAACTCAGGCATTCACTGTACAAAGGGTTCAGAAGCTGAAACACAGCACAGAGAGACCCAAACAGATAAGATTGTGTGTGTTTTGAACCCCACACAGATATGAGTCAAGTCATGGGGGCTGTGAACACCCCTAGTATCTAATGAGAGGCAGAATATATCTAAATCCCAGTCACTGTGGAATGCCAAATTTAGAGGGCTATTGCGCTCATGTCCTGCTTATGGGCTTCCGATAAGCTTATGGTTGAATATCATGGGAAATAGGATTCTAGACTAGGTTGGCATTTGATGGGATCCAACAGGGCTCTTCATATGACCTTATGAATATGCATGCATTTTGCAGGACATCCATTTGAGAACCTGCATGCTCTGGTGCCATTTCTGTGACCCTTGGAAGAACTTTATCAGCTTTACAAAGTAGTGAGGGCTATGCAGCCTGCCAGCACTTTAGATTGCACCCCTGCAGGGGAATTAATCCAGGGCCCCAAAAACATCAATGCCGTGAAGCTATTTTGGAACACATGCTACTTTCGTTCACTTATACAGGCTATTCTGAACCAGAGTGAAGGAGGGCAGGTCAGGAGACCAGTAGCTATTGCTTTTTGTATCTTGCCCCTTTGAGCTACCACTGCTGTAGTTTCTTTGGATCTTTTGTCAGCCTTGTCATGACCCAACTCAGCTAGCCAGACATGGACTACAGGGAGGAGAAGAGGCACTGCGCCTGCTGTCTGGTACAGAGTGGTGAGACTCGAGATGAGCTAGTCAATGCAGATTCATAAACAGCTTGCCCATTTGAACCTGCAGCCTTATCCCAATATGAATTGTCTAGATCAGCGGTAGCCAATATGATCTCATACCACCTGTCCTGGCCACCACAGACAATGGTAAAATTTTGGATTGCAAAGACAAATAACTAATTGGCCACTTGCTAATTTTAGCTACATTGACCTTCACGTGTCTTTGGAAATGCATGTGTAAAGCCATGGTGGAGTCTAGTTTCTGGCCATGTCAGAAAAGCTAAAGCAAAAACTGTTTAACACAGGAGGATATCAATAAAAGAACCTTTTATGCAGTCTGGTTTGACTTTATTAAATAAACAAACGAGGGAACAGCATCTCCAAAGACACAAACAAGGTATGCAAGTTTATGGAGCTCTTAATAGCTAAAAGACTTGACATCAGAGCTCAGTCACCAATATCTTGCGAACTCTGTGCTACACACTGTGGACTTTGTGAAAAGAGAAAGAACAGAATCATAGACTCGTAGAATTGGAAGGTGTCTGAAGGCCCCCTAGTTCAACCCCCTGAAACCATACTGGACCCTGCTTAGCTTTGTAAATGTGTTAGCAGTTTTATTGCTGCACCAATAATCAGACTGATCAGTGGCTTTTGTTTTATGTTTTTACTTACCTCTGAAATCCTGGGGGGTTTATCTCATGTGTTTGTTATATTTTATTTGTAGCCTTGTCTTCTAAAAAATTATATATCTATAAATTATGCACACTATCACACATGCCCGCCCACATACACATATATATTAAATTAAAGGGACAGTGATCAGGGCTAATGGGAGTTATAGTTCAGCTACATCTGGAAAGCTGGGCTCCGCATCTAGGTTAGCCTGAAAGAGGTTTCACCAGACACAAACCTCAGGACTACCAGTCTGCCGTAGCAGGTACTGGAGGCCTCTGAAGGACCGCCCCACCTAGTCAAAATTGTTAGAGTCACAGAGTCCACTTGCTAGTGATGTCAGAGGGCCTTTCAAGATGTATTTCAAGATGTATTCAGCATCATGGGTTTCGTAGTACTTGGCTGCAGAAACAATTATTGCAGATTGCACACCTAAAATACAGAAAAGTCTGGAGAACCATCTGGTGAGAACCAACATTCAATTTTAGGAGCAATTTGGCCACAGTGCCACTACCCTTGATGTTGGCTGACTTTTTTTCTTTTCATGACTGGGGGAAAATAACAACTTTTCAGTGCATTGTTTCATTTACACCAGGCATAGGCAAACTCAGCCCTCCAGATGTTCTGGGACTACAATTCCCATCATCCCTGACCACTGGTCCTTTTAGCTAGGGATCATGAGAGTTGTAGTCTCATGGAGAGCCGAGTTTGCCTATGCCTGATTTACACCTTCAATGGATCAACACAAGGTGGTGACTCTCTCTCTCTCTCTCTCTCTGTGTGTGTGTGTGTGTGTGTGTTTGCGCACACACTTTTTAAAAGATGAGAGTTTTTGCTAACATTGATCGGGCAGATGAAAGAGTGAAAGATGAAAGGAGCTGCTTGTTGGCAAAATGACGGCAAATCAGCTCAGTAGGGCATGGAAATAGCAACATTTCCATAGTCTGTATTATACATGCCAACCAAGCGTGTACAGTGGTACCTCGGTTTACAAACTTAATCCATTCCGGAAGTCCGTTCTTAAACCAAAGCTGCTCTTAAACTGAGGTGCGCTTTCCTTAATGAGGCCTCCTTCTCCCGGTGCCCTTCCACCATTTGGCTTCCATTTGTAGAATGAGGTAAAGTTTGCAAACCGGGACACTACAGTTGTACCCTGGGTTACAGATGCTTCAGGTTACGTTTTTTCAGGTTACGGACCTCCAAAACCTGGAAGTACCGGAACGGGTTACTTCCAGGTTTCGGCGGTCGCGCATGCGCAGAAGTGCTGAATCGCAACCTGCGCGTGTGCAGACGTGCCGCTGCGGGTTGCAAACGCTGCAGGTTGCAAACATGCATCCTGCATGGATCATGTTCACAACCCGAGCGTCCACTGTACTTCTGGTTTTGTGGAGTTCGTAAACTGAATAGTTCATAAACAGGGCTGTTCTTAAACCAAGGTACCACTGTAGAAGAAGAAGAAGAGTTTGGATTTGATATCCCGCCTTTCACTCCCTTTAAGGAGTCTCAAAGCGGCTAACATTCTCCTTTCCCTTCCTCCCCCACAACAAACACTCTGTGAGGTGAGTGGGGCTGAGAGACTTCAGAGAAGTGTGACTAGACCAAGGTCACCCAGCAGCTGCATGTGGAGGAGCGGAGACGCGAACCCGGTTCCCCAGATTACGAGACTACCGCTCTTACCCACTACACCACACTGTACTGGGAGGCAGCCTGAGTGTAGGATTCTGAAATCAATTTATGTACAGTGTGTAAGGAAGGAGACCTTGCAGAAGCTTGCTGCATGGATTCCTTAAAGTCTATTGTTCACAGGCTTTTCTGAAACATTTTAAGATATTGATCTGCTTACTCTTTTTGCCTTGTGCTTTTTGCCTTGTACTTTGGCAGAGAACTCACATCCTAGGACCGAATGCAAGCCAGTGAGTTGCATCATGTAGCTGCAACTGCTATTCCTTCTGATGTTGAGGGAACATCCTTGCTGGATGCCTTGCATAATACATCAGTGGGCATAGGGGATGTCCTTTCATGTATCTGCATCATGAGAACAAAGGGGGGCAACAGGTGGGAAAGGATGATCCGAGTAAGACTCTTTAAAGTGGAGACTGGGGGTGTGGGCTGCCTACCAGAATTAAAGGGATCAAAGGAAGCTTCCTGATACTGACCATTGATTGACCCAGTATTGCCCACCCTGACTGGCAGCGGTTCTCCAGGGTTTCAGGCAAGGGACATTCCCAGCCCTAACTAGAAAGGCTGGGGATTGAAACTGGAAACTTCTTCATGCAAAGCATATGCTCTGTAAATTCTTCTTCTTCAGAACATAGAGAACTGGCTCTTACAAGTCAGCATAGTTCAAGCCGTTACTGGTAATGGGTAAAGGTCAACGCCAAAATTTAAAAAGGTTCAAAACTATATAGCAAATTGCATTTGCAAACACAAATAATGAAAATATTCTGCATGCTGGAGATCAAAGAATTAAATAAGAAATAAGAAATAAGAAAAAGAAGCAATGAAAGAAACAATGAATTTTAATAATAAATTCATATATACTTTCTTTGTTTCTTTATTAAATCAGGGCATCAGCACAACAATTTATAGCTGTCAACAAAAGCACTTTTCTACACAACCTCACAGCAGTCACTTCAAAAAAAAATCCCATAAGTCACTCAAATATGTTAGTGTGTTTGAAGAGATTACAGTCATACCTTGGGATAAATATGCTTCAGGTTGAGCACTTTCGGGTTGCGCTCCGCGGCGACCCAGAAGTAATGGAGTGTGTTACTTCTGGGTTTTGCCACTCGCGCATGCGAAGACGGTCAAAATGATGTCACGTGTATGCGCGGAAGTGGAACAAATGTGACCTGCACACACGCAGACAAGCTGTCGCATCTTACATTCTGTTCGGGATGCGAACAGGGCTCTAGAACGGATCCCGTTCGCATCCCAAGGTACCACCGTACACATATTTTCTATGGTGGTTTTTGAGAGAGACAGAGAGAGAGAGAGAATCTGAAAATACTAGAACTTGGGGACACCCAATGAATTTGAATGTACAAAGTGTCAGGACAGACAAAATGAAGTACTTCTTCATACTTCATAGTTAAACTATTGAAATCACAAACCCCAAAACATGGATGGCTTTAAAAGAGGCTCAGGGAAATTCATAGAGGCCAAGGTGAGCAAGGGCTATTTGCCCTGGTGGCTGTTTCCTGTATCCACTATGAGAAGCAGTATGCCCCTGAATACCAGTTGTTGTGAACCACAACTGGTTCGAGCGTTGCTGTGCTCTGGTCATGACTGTGGACTTCCCACCAGGGCAGCTGGTCAGTGACTGTGAGAACAGGATGATGGACTTGATGAGCCATTGGCCAGATTTGGGAGGCTCTCCTTACCTTGTTGGTCTCACCCCCACCCTAAGAAAAAAGATGTCCACTTGGAGATGACTGCCATTTCCACCTAACAGTGTTATAGTAGGTTCAAGGCATTGAGAAAGATGCAAAATGGTGGTAACATTGCAAAAAACAACAAAAAACAAAAAAACAAAAGCCACTTCACATAAAGAAATTGCACACTCATGCACACACACACACACACACACACACACACAGCCAAGCAGGCTCCCAGAGTGGCTTACGTAAAATCAAAACAAGACACTCCCTCCCCACAAGTTTACAGTCTGAAATCAACCTCAACAAACAAGGGGAAAGGGGCAAGGAGGGAAGGGGGAAATCAAAATCAAATCTCAGACATCACTTTCTGGACCTGAGTCTGTATTTATGAGCTGCCTCAGTGAGCATAAAAGGCATACATTCTGCAAGTCTTCATATACAGCAACTATTTATGTTGATACATGAGTACTAATGGTTCCCTATATCTGCATTTTATCAGACCAACCTAGGGCAATGGGGTGAATGCAAGGCCTTCTGAACTCTTCCCCAGCCACCTTCCTTCTCCTCAAGCCACACTCCTCACTGGCCCTGTTACACACACACAAAATGCTTCTGTCTGTCTGGAACATGTCCATGAAATCCAATCAATGCTTCTTGTATGTCAGGATGGAGGATAGAGAAGGGTGTGTGAGTGTGTGTAGAAATCAGCTTCCTGTACAAAAGTAACATTTGCATTTGCTACCCCACACGTTTTGCCTGTGGCCCTGCCTACCGCTGGCAATGTGGCCTTGGAAGGTCGCCCAGAAGAGAACGTGGCGCTTTGCTTCTGCCATGGCTGAAGAAGGTTCCCCAATCCTGCCCTTCAGGAAATCTTAGTCTTGTTTAGTACTGTAAGCACGGTTTGGGCATGCAGGGGAATCCCTGATTACGCAGGGGTTCCATTCCCTGCAGCCACATGCATGCATGGGACACACAAATCTGTTCTGCCCTGTTCTGCCCCTACCTTGCCCTCTTTCTGTGCCAAAAATGGCACTCATGTCAGTGGTCCTACACATGCTGATCTTGCACATGTTGGGTGGTGCCTGTAATTCCAAACTTCTAAGAACAGAAACTTTGTATCACTGCAGGGAAATTCTACCTACTGCGTTCTCCCTCGATACAGCAGTTACTGGAAGGGGGGAAGGGCAGAAATTGTACATGTCTTGTTTCCATTCTGATATTTTCTAATCTTTTTCACCCTGTCAGGCCTCTCCAGGGTGGGTCTCTTCAGTGCTCGATGCTGGAACAGCTTTGTCCCTGGGAAACATTTTTAAAGATCTCCATGTTGTAAATCTGCTAGCTCACTCCTGGAAGCCGGGAGGCTCCATAGAGCATAATTTAAGGTTCTAACAAGCCAAGCAGAAGCCATTACTCAATTTTAATTTTAATTCGGCTTTTTCTTTCTCCAAATGGGTGGCTTGCAGCCTCCTGCTGGAGCAGTTATGTAAAGAATAGGAGTCATTGTGTTTGAAGCTAGGAATTAACTTTTTTTCTCAAGCACAAGGAGTTCTGGCTCTACCTATTAAAGTGTTTGCTATTTCTGGAAGCTCTGTTATCCTCCCCTTCTTCACTCACTGTTTCTGAAGACAGGAAGCCACCCACGTGCCTCTATAGAGAACCACCCACATGCTTCTATAAGAAGAGCTCACCCTCAAGAGACTGGCGTGGGTCAGACCTTGGTCTGACGTGAGAACGATGCTATAAGAACCATGTTGCCACACATTTAGGGATGGAGGAGAATCTTGCCCTGTCCACATTTTAAAGAAAGCTTCCCTAATTCACAGTTAGGGTAAGGGGCCATCACTCAGTGGTAGAGCAAATGTCTTGCGTGCAGAAGGTCCTGGGTTTTCTGTTATTGTTGCAAGCTGCCCAGGGACCTTACAGAGACCATAAGAAATCAAATGAATAAATAAATCCCTGGCATCTCCAGGAAGAGCTGGGAGTGAACCTTTTCTGAAATTCTGGAGAGCCACTACCAGTCAGTGTAGTCTGTGCTATGCTGGCTGGACCCATTGGTCTGAATTGGTATAATACAGCTTCCTAGGTTGCCAGCCATGTAAATGGATTAAAGTGTACTTAACAACTGGATTTCAGGTAGGCTAGACTTTGAACAAGGGATCAGGTAACCAGTAAATCATTTGCTTCCCTTCTGTAATTGCTCTTACGTTGCCCCAGCCACTTTGGGTGACTTCCAGGAAAATAGAAAAACACAATAAAACATCAAACATAAAAGAAATTCCTATACAGATGTCTTCTAAAAGCCATATAGTTGTTTATCTATTTGACATCTGATGGGAGGGCATTCCACAGGGTGAGTACCACTACCAGGCCCTCTTCCCATTTCTCTGTAACTTCATTTCTCCCAGCGAGGGAACCACCAGAAGGCCATCAGAGCTGGACCTCAGTGTCTGGGCTTGATGATGGAGTTAGAGACGCTCCTTCAGGTATACAGGGCCAGGGCTGTTTAGGGCTTTAGGGCAACTCTCATCACCACTGACCATTCTCCATGCTGGCTGTGGTTGATAGGAGATGGTCCAAAAACATATGATTCTCTACCAAATCTGCTATGTGGTAAACATTTGTGTGGATCTTTATACAGCTAACATTTTCAGCAGATCCCTTCCTTCCTTCCTTCCTTCCTGGTGGAGTGGCTTTGTGTCTGGGATCTACCACTGCAATGCCTTGCAAAACCCAACAGTTGCTCTGGTGTTGGGAATCTATTTGCACCTTCAGAATGGTGATTTTAAGGGTCCATCTTGCAAATGACTTGGAGTGATCTTGCCTGTAATGCATCCTTGAACTCTTGATGGTGCCTCTTGCTTGGATGGAGGAGAAAGAAGAGATAGAGAAAGAAAGAAAGTAGAAACCTCTGGCTTTTGCATGGCTGGAGTACCTAGTGCATAAAGGTAACAGTCGCATCCATTCTGCCTACTTTTGTTCGTGGTCCCCTCACATTTTGCCTCTGCCCCCTGAATGATGGCCTGTGATGGAATGCAGGCTTTAGACCAAAAATTCTGTTTTTATTTGCGTTTGGTGCATGCTAGCTGTAAGTAGGTACTTTATCTCCTAGTTTTGTATTTTAATCCTATTGATGGACATTTTGAGCATCTTTATATTCAAGAGGTGGAAAAGTTACTAATTATTTTAAATATAACACTAATGTTTCCACAACTTACAGCAGGCAGTATTTGGTGCTCCTTTTTAGTTTACTCAGAAGCATGTTTCGACTTCTAAGCCATGAGTCAGTTTCTGTGGTGCTCGGAGACTATTTCACATACATCTCGCTTCACAGAACTTTGCGCTGACATAGTCATTTGCAATAAAATATTGACAGAAAGCTGCAGCAAGGCCAACTCCACAAAGGAGTCATTCTTGCTGCTTGGATAAATCCCTTCAGGATCAGAAATGGAGTAGTGGGGAGAGACTCTGAAAACCAAGAAATCAAAACATATTTACATTACTGGAGTCTGCCCTGTTATTGTATGCTTCTTATAGTGGTGGGGTTGCCTCTGATACCAACTGAATACACTGGTGTGAAGGCATGGTATGTCCACAAACATTTCAGCTGCTCGGGGAAAGAAGCAGATGAGATGCTTGGAGTTCCGAGTATGTGAGGGAAGGGAACCTTGTCGGTTGTCAGGGATTAAAACCTCTCTCACGCAGAGAGTAAGGGCAGGGGTGACTTTGTGGGGCAGACTGAGAAGACCAGGGAGAGAAGGGAAACTAAAAAACATTGGAAAGAGAGAAGGCAGGTGAAGGTGAAGACAATGTTCTGAGAAAAGCTAACTTCAGTGAAGAGAGAGAAGGCAGTTTGCAAAAATAGACACTGAAAACAAGCACTAAAGCTAGAAGTGTGCAAAGAGGGAGTATATATTGTGGATGAGAGTGGAGATATATGTATGAGAAACTGGCCAAGGGACAGGGTGGATGAAGGAAGTGTTACAGGACAGGTAATTGACTGAAGAGCCAACTGGCCACACATAAAATAATAGGAGTAAACAAGGTTTGTTTCTACATCTACCAGCTCCTCCTTTTCCTTTGGCTTCAGGACTTCATATGCCTTAGATGTTTCTCAAGAGACAGAGAAGTATGGAGGGATAAAGGATTACACAGCACGTCTGTCATTCCACTATTGCTGGCCCCCCAGGTGCCCACGTGGATATTCTTCTCTGTGCATGACATCTTTTATTTGATTTTAAAAGAGCTCTACATTTTTCAGCTAGGAAGGAATGTTGGAGCCACTTCTGAGCTGCAATCCGTCAGTCTGCATTTGCCATTTTAAAAAAGGAAAGAAAGAAAAGGGTGATTTATTTTTTAAATGTGCGCGCGCGCACAGACACACACACACGGAGAGGGAGAGGGAGAGAGAGAGAGAGAGAGAGAGAGAGAGAGAAAGAGAATATCTCTGGCTTTCATGAACTGTTTTCTTCTTCAAAGATTTGCAGATGCAGGTTCATTTATGAATGGGACAGAGGTATATTTAAAGCATAATAGTAGGCCTGTATCAAGTTATATCTAATGCTAGGCCTACTGAGGCCCAGTGAAATTAATGAGCATGCCTAACACAGCATTATTAATCCTATTGGATCTACTCTCAGTAAAACTTGGTTGAATACAACCCCATTATCTGTGATGTGAACATTATGCTGTTCATCAGAATACAGCAATATCTACATACCTACCTACCAGATAGTTGGGGCCCATTGGGACTTGTAGGACAGAAAGCAGGGAGGCCATGGATGGGCAGAACCAGAGACAAAGGCAGCACCAACTCATTCCAGTTTTGCCCTCTCCTCTTCTCTGCTGAGTTCTACGAAGGGAACACTGAGGCTAAGGAGAAGGAAGCTGGCCACCAGGAACAGTTCCTGAACTGGTTGTGCTATGTATGCAGGCATTGTAGGCCAAAGCCAGGTTGTAAGTTAAGAAGGCAGGCAAGTGAGGGCAACTGCAATCAGTGGGCAGTTCCCTGTTGTCTCTACTGGACCAGCCTCCATTTCTCACCAGCATCTTCCCTCTGCTATAATCTGAAACCATCATCTGCATGGGACACGGGTGGCACTGTGTGTTAAACCACAGAGCCTAGGACTTGCCGATCAGAAGGTCGGTGGTTCAAATCCCGGCGACGGGGTGAGCTCCTGTTGCTCAGTCCCAGGTCCTGCCCACCTAGCAGTTCAAAAGCATGTCAAAGTGCAAGTAAATAAATAGGCACCGCTCCGGCGGGAAGGTAAACGGCATTTCCGTGCGCTGCTCTGGTTTGCCAGAAGCGGCTTAGTCATGCTGGCCACATGACCTGGAAGCTGTACGCCAGCTCCCTCGGCCAATAAAGCGAGATGAGCGCCGCAACCCCAGAGTCGGTCACGACTGGACCTAATGGTCAGGAATCCTTTATCATCTGCTTATGAACATGTTGGCTTCTTCTAGTTCTTTATTGGTGTCAAACATCATCTCATCCCCCACCCCAAAGTTTTTTATTAATATTAGAAAAAGCACTGCCAAATTACTCAGCTTCTTCCCCACTCAATAAAAGATGTTTATGACCCTGTAAATTCCAGCATATCAGAAGCTTATTATGTAGAGAGGAAAAGGTCATTGTAGGGGGGGGGGGAGCAGCAAAGGGGAGGGAGGGAGGAGGTGTAATTCTGTTGGAAGTTTCTGGCTCTGATACTTACAGGTCAAGTTGGCTCAAGGGGGAATATCTTTTGGAAGTATCTTGATATAGGCTGGTAATGGGAAAGTGTGCCAGCAATACTGAGTTTGTTTCATCAGATAAATATTTAATATAGATGACTGGAGATGAAGCGAGCACAGAAAAAGAGGTGTGTCCCATGGGTGATATATACAGTAGAACATCTACTTACAACTGCCTCCACTTGCGGACGTTCCAAGTTGCGACCATGGCAAACCTAGAAGTAACCAGTGGGTTTGCCACTGATCATGCATGCGCAGGAGTGGCGATTGCCGTTCACACCTGCGCAGAAACAGTGATTGCTGTTTGCGCATGCACAGAAGTGGGCAATTGCCACCCACACCTGGTCACAACGGCACCTCTCCCAGTGACCCGTTTTGCCATAAGGACGGGCCTCCGGAACGGATTGTGGTCATGAGTAGAGGTTCCACTGTAATAGAGCCCTGCTACTGAGGCTCCAATACTTTGGCCACCTCATGAGAAGAGAAGACTCCCTGGAAAAGACCCTGATGTTGGGAAAGATGGAGGGCACCAGAAGAAGGGGACGGCAGAGGACAAGATGGTTGGACAGTGTTCTCGAAGCTACCAGCATGAGTTTGACCAAACTGTGGGAGGCAGTGGAAGACAGGAATGCCTGGCATGCTCTGGTCCATGGGGTCACAAAGAGTCGGACAAGACTAAATGACTAAACAACAACAACAACAACAACAACAAAGTTCAGGCCATAGACCCTTCTAGTCCAGCACCCTGTCCTCACAGTGGCCAACCAGATGCCCGAATGAGAAGCCTGCAAGCAGAAGCTGAGCACGAAAGCACTCCTGCAATTTCCAGCAACTGCTATTCAGAGCCATGCTGCCTCTGCAGTGTCATTGTGCCATGCCAATAGTGTGTGTATGGACAATCTACAGCTATCACTCTGAGTTTTATTCTGGAGGCTTAAATGAGAGAAAGGGGTGCAGGTAACTCCAAGTAGCAGGGATTTCTGAGTTTGTGCCCCCGACTTTATTTATTTATAAAAGTATTTCTATATGGCCATATCATTAAAAAAATCAGGGTGGCATACAATGTTAAAACATAAGAAATCATTAAAATAACGTGCAGATAATCATAATTGTGACTGATTAATTTAAAAAGTTAAAGTTTAACAACTGCAAAGGCTTGTCAGCATAAAAGAGCCTTCAAGAGACTCTGGAATGCAAAAGCAAAGGTGTCTGCTGACTCTCTCTGCTGGGAGAGTTTTCCCAAAACATGCAACTGGTGACTCAAAATGCTCAACTACTAGCTGAGGCCAGCCAGACTTCTGTAACATGGGAGACAACTAACAGCACTTTTCTGGATGATCTCTGACATCGTGCTGGGATGAAGGGCTCAGGTGCTCTTTAATGTATCCTGGACCCAAGTTGTTTAGGGCTTTGTTTCTCAACACAAAAACCCTGAGCCTGGCTGATGGCATATGGGTAACCAGTTGAAGGCTCTGAGATTACATCCGTAAGCTCCTTTAGAACCCTTGGATGTAACCCCATTCAGAGTAGACGACACCCCATCCATCTGGCCTCAGCCTTGTCAGGATCAAGCTGCAGTTTATTGGCTCTTGTCCAGTACAAATGTGCCAACGACCCCCAAAATGTTGGCAACCCTGATCCAGGGGATACTTGGTGCTGCTTCTTTTAATCTTACGGCTGGTAGAAAGTGAAAAGAGGGGTTCTAATAAGTTCAAGGTGCAGGTGGGGATGAAACTCTAAATGGCATAAGAAGATAAGTTCATCAGAGGGCTTTGGCATAGTAGATGAGCGAGCAACTGCACGTCTCGTTGCTCAGCAAACCCGTAGGCTTTAAATACAGGAAGCAGCTGCCCTTCCATGGTGGGAGGCTAATGATGGCACTGAGACATGAAACCAGTGTAGAACAAAATAGCAGAGTCCTATGATCTGCTGTGTGGGTTTATGAGGCCTTGGATCTGGTGAAAGCATTATGGCACCACTGCAGTATCACCACTTCAAGGAGAGTCATGCGAAACCCACAGGAGGAATCATTCTATTTTCCACTCTTCAGGCTGTGAGTGATGTTATTTATGTAACCAAAATGGCACCACTCATGACAGTGGTGGTATCAGCAAGTTAAACAAGGATCCACTCTTGAAGAACAAGTCCACATGATTGACGTTCCTTAACACGCTCACAGCCTTGCACACAGAAACCTAGCATATTGGGGAGGAGGGTGTTAGCTTTCCATGTGACCGAGTATGCGTGTCTGTGGGTTTGTGAAGGAGCAAGTTGTTCAGTGCATCGTTCTTCATATCATCAATGAGCTGGAGGGGCAGGCAGCCTCAGATAGAGGTTGGGAGGTTGTGTGATTGGGCACTGAGCAATGAAGTAAGGGGATCCTTAGGCTCCTCAAGGGCAAGGCTTTATGTTCTAAATTACTGTTTTAAAGTACCAGCTATGGAGGGTAGTAGATCATAAAAATGGTGGTTGCCAGTACAGTCAGTTAAAAATATAGCTGATTGAAAGTCTTTTGTTTATAATAAACTGGGTTCCTCGTTATAGCTTTGCAGGGTTAGGCTAACGAGGGGAGCTTATTCAGATTTCCTGTATTTTATTTTTATTTTACGTTTTAATTCTGTGCTGTGGCTTCTCCCTGTCTTCCTCCAAAGGGAAATATGCACAAGCAAATAAGCAAAGCAAAACATTATGTCAATTCAGAACTCTCAATTGGCCACCCTGGAGGTCGTTGACAACTCTGGATGATGAGGATTAAAATTCTTATTCACCCTGTCATACTTCTTTGTTCAAAATCAGATGTCCCTACTAAAGTATCAAGGATTGGATCCCGACTTAAGGCTGCATTCCAACAGTGCATTATTCTGTTTTCCTGGCATTTCCACGTTTTATGTGATCTTTCACACAACGTAAAAGCCACTGTCTAGTGGAAGTGCTCATTTCCATGTTGTTTCCAGAGGGGGAAATATGTATTTGCAACCCAGAAAATAATGGGAGTTTTGTATTGTAACTTCATGTGATGAAATATGGACTGGTATCCTGGCATACAGTTCTTTCCCACCATTCAAAATTTAGTGTGACATGGTAGTATATTGATTTAAAAAGCCAGTTTCATAATGCAACAGGTACTGCAGCTTTAAAAACAACAACATTAGTAACTGGGGCAGAAGTGCTAGCTTTATTAGTAAAACTAGTAACCAGGGGAATGAAGATATTCCTGGGCTTGGCTTAGTGTTGCATGCAAATGAGGCAAGTGGGAGCCAGAGAGCATTGAAGCATTTCCACCACCTCCCTTGCAAGGAACAAATCCTACATTCTGAAATAGTCAGGTGAGGTAGGTCACTTGACATAGCACAATCCTTCGTAACAGCCATGAGATTGTGAAACTCACTCCTATGGAGATGTTTCCTAGACTCCCACATAATTAGAATTTGGGTGAGGAAGTAAATAAAAAGGTAAAGGTACCCCTGACCGTTAGGTCCCATCGTGGACGACTCTGGGGTTGCACGCTCATCTCCCTCTATAGGCCAAGGGAGCTGGTGTTTGTCCGCAGACAGCTTCTGGGTCATATGGCCAGCATGACTAAGCCGCTTCTGGTGAACCAGAGCAGTGCACAGAAATGCCGTTTACCTTCCCGCCGGAGCGGTACCTATTTATCTACTTGCACTTTGATGTGCTTTCAAACTGCTAGGTGGGCAGGAGCTGGGACCGAACAACGGGAGCTCACCCCGTCATGGGGATTCGAACCGCCAACCTTCTGATTGGCAAGCCCTAGGCTCTGTGGTTTAGACCACAGCACCACCCACGTCCCTTGAGGAAGTAAATACCAGTACACAAATCATGAAGGGAAAGGATCCACAAAATCCACCCATTGACCCCTATTTTAGCCAAATCATGATCTTCATAGTCCGGGGGCGGGGGGAGAGAATGTGTGGTAAGAATGTACTTCTGACTTGGACATTGTCGCCAGCTTTGATCTGAGTGAACAGGGTTGTTCTTTATCAAATACAAGGCAGCCAGAGCAACTGCTGACATTAGCTGCAGTGTTAGAAATCGTAACTTTAAGAACTTGTGCTGAGCTTGCTTTTCCCTCTTCTGTCCTCCTCTTTCTTCCTTGTGGGTCATGTCTTTTTTGATTGTGAGCCTGAAGGCAGAGATCATCTCCAGCACTAGATTTTGTAAGCTGCATTGAGACCCTTTTTACTAAAGAGAGGGGGTGTAAAAATGGTAAAATAATAATAAATGAAAACTGTAGCTAAATGCGCCCAGTATTGCTCTGCTCCCTTTTAATTAGGGTAAATATGCTGCTATGTGAAAGCACCTTCTGATTACCATGGAATTAAGCCCCACTGAGTTCAGTGAGACTTACTCCCCAGTAAATGTGCCTAGGCTTGCAGCCTTAGTGATTTATTTCTGTTCTAGAGGTCTCTGCTGCTGTTTCTGTTGCTGCCACTGCGGCAGTTTTCTCATTATTTGTGGCCTTATTGGTTTCTGTTTATTTATTTTTTATACGAGTTGTCGTATTGCCAATTGATTGTGCTTTAAAATTGTTTTATATCAATGATAGCCACCTTGTAGACCCCTTGTGGGTACTGGCGCGGGGGGGGGGGGGGATATAAATGATTTAAAATAATAAGTAAGTTGAATGCAGAGACCACACACAAGCTTTGCTTTAAGGCATAAAACCAAGTGCAGTGTCAGAATGGATCTGGCGTATTAGGGATCACCAACAGGGTTCCCACAAGCACCAATGCACCCACTAGTACCTGCTATGGTACTCCTGAAAGGACTCACTTCGCCACACCTATCTCTGATTCACTTAAGAATGTTGTGGAACAGTTTTACATCTGATGCCAAAAATGCAGCAGGAGGAGGTGGTGGTGATGGTTGTTTTTTTGTGGAGAGAAGGAGGAGAGAACAGGAGGATGAGATGAAAGTTTTGGAAATGCTGATCAGGTAGTAAATTGCTTCTAAGAGGAGATGGGTTTGGCGTGACCTTCAGCCAGCTCTTAGTAAGTGGATTATTCCAGCTCTGTATTAAAAAAAAGAAAGAAAGAAATGGGGGGGGGGGAGAGGAGGATGACGAAAAAACAACCAAACAAGCGTGACATTGACTCTAGTGTTGTCTGCTCTGACAGCCTGGCCTCCTTTTATGAGTCAGACCTAATTATTTGCTGCTGAGATGATTTTATTGTGCAAGTAAAGTAAGGCAAGAGAAATCACCTGTCAGGAAGATGGCCCAGAGCCAGAATGGGATCAGACCACTAAAAGTTAGGAGCTGCTCCATCTTCTTCCCTGCTCCAGCTGCTGCTCAGTGATGCTGTTAGGGCAGGACTCTGTGGCAGAAGACCAGGGCCCCACTCAGCAGCATGAGCAGAAGATGCCCCAAACAGAGAAGGGCTGGCTTGCTGCATTTTGCCCCAGCAGGACTGTCCCCTTGATGTTCATAAGCATGCCAGAAGCATCTGGATTGGCAATGTGGGAGGCAGAGTGCTGGGCCAGATTAACATGTGGGTCTTATTCAGGAGAGGTCTTCTTATGTCCCTGAGTGATAAGCCTGCCTAGAATGGGATGCCGTGTAGCAAATTTCCTATAGGATTTCCTGCATAAGCAGGAGGTTGGGCTATATGGCCTTTGAGTTAATTTTCAACTCAGTGATTCTACTTATAGCTAAATTGTTTAAATTCAAGCCACACTTCATGTCTAACAGACACACATCCAGGAAACTTGGTCAGCAAGTCCCTGACCTTTCTAAGTCATTGGTCCCTTTTAGATTTTTGAATAAGTCTCTTGGGTCACTTCTCCATTTGAGTCCCCATTCTCTACGCCAGATCAGTAGCACAGACAGAAAGAGAGAAAGCACACACACACACCACCCTTCATCTCATTTTCCCATGGGATCTGGGTAAAAGTTGGATCCAGCCAAATTAATCTTAGCCTTGAAAAGCACATAAAGCTGAAAGAGGAAGTAGGGAAGGGTGTTGCTCTTCTATCTTCCTCCTTCAGCTCTATGCACTTCTTAAGGGAGAAAAGGGAAACAATGACAAGTGGAGCAGTGAGTGAGTTAAGTGTGTTGTGTTCGTAGGCAGGCTCAGAGACTTCATACATGCCTGGAGAAGTTCTCAAGGACACCGTTCTGTCCACAGGCACCACACTGGCATTCCTTTGTATGGGCTACATGCCCAGTTTTCACAATGTTCTACATGGAAGTGGCTTTTCAAGTAGGGCATTTTGTTCTGTGCAAAGGACTCCCTCCAACCCTTCAGGCTTCCTCATTGTCAGCCTGACTTCTCCTGGTTGCTTCAGAAGCTGAAAGAAAGAAATCCAGCCACTGCAGTGTTAAATGCAGTAAATCACGCAAGTAGGAGGCTGACCCAGCAGCAAAGGAGGCAATGCTAGGAATAGAAAAACATTGACGTGAGCATGTGTCGAAAAAGCCACCGGCTGACAGATCAGGCTGTGGGTGGCACAGAGCAGATGGTACCTCTTGGGTGATGCTGGGGAAGCTGAATAATAAGCAGGGAGGGGTAGCAATGGGGGCCACGATGCCATTCTTCTTAACCCACCTAACTCAACTCAGTAGCAAAAGACAGCCCCCCCCAGGCCCCCCAGAAGAGCTTGTAGTCAAAGATCTGGCTTCAGCCTAGTTTTCCTGGGGTTTGCATATTCCAGTTCTGAATTTTTCTTTCAACACACTTCTGATTTTTCTTCAATTGTTGTGTTTAATTCCTTTATTTTTCGTGGTATCAAGCAACAACCCCCAAGGTTTCACGCTGATCTAATTTCTTTCCCCCTTCATGCCCTCTGGCCTGTGCGGTGGTTGGAAGATGGAGTATTTAATTTTTCTCTGACGGCCTCTCCTTCGTGGACTCGTCACTTATGTTAGATGCTCCCGTGCCCTTGGAGTCTCCTGTTCCCCAGAGGGCAAACTCCATGCCCCCCAGGCTTTGAACTTTATCCTTCCTCTGCAGCATTTCCCTCCAGTTCTCTGTCCCCTTGAGGGAGCATATTGCTAATGAGCATCCCAACAGTCCCTGGTGGCACCCACCATTCCCCCCTGTTCTTCTTAAAAACCTGTGCAGGCTTTATTGTGTGCTCATTAGTGTGGCAGTGCCTTGGGGCAAAGTATACATTGCCTTTTGCTGTGACAAGAAACAAGGTCAAATTCTTGCAACTTCTCTTCTCCTCAGGCAGGTAAGCAGTCCCTGGTGGCTCCAGAAACCAATGTGTAGATGCTTCCCCCACCCCAGATATTAAAGCTGAGAGACCCATAACTCTACTCCCTCCAATCCAGCACTGATAAGGATTGTCAGTGCAGAGGAGCCATAGCTTAGTGCTTAGAACATATGTTTTGCATGAAGAAGACCCCAGTTAAATTCCTGACATTTCTAGCTAGGGCTGCCATAGAATTGTTGAGTTGAAAGGAACCCCAAGAGTCATCTAGCCAAGCCCCTCTCAGTCTTCTGTTCTCCAGGCTAGGTAAGGTAAAGGTAAAGGTACCCCTGCCCGTACAGGCCAGTCGTGACCGACTCTGGGGTTGCGCGCCCATCTCGCTTAAGAGGCCGGGGGCCAGCGCTGTCCGGAGACACTTCCGGGTCACGTGACCACCCCTTGTCTATCTTTTGTAACCTGGCTGGATTACCATTTTCTTGACTCAGCAACCTTTCCCTAGAGCAAGGAAGGGAAATCTCATACCTGATGGAGTGGAACAGATCCACCCTCTGGGACTCGCTGTCTGGCCCCTGGGGCTTCCTCCATGCAATGTGCCTCACCAACCCTGCTTCATATGGACAGATAGGGATGTGTGAGTGTAGAAGGTAGCTTACTGTGAAAAAGGGAAAAGTTACATTATTTGGCTTCCCATTCTTTTGCCTCTGCCCCCACCCATCCCTGGCATGTCTCTGCTGGAAGCTTGCCAAGTAGGGACTGTGGCCCTCAGGCTGGAAAATCTTCCCTACCCTGAACCTAGAACTAAATCCAAGCCACGCAGTTCTAGTATCAGTGGAAATGGGCAACCCAGCCATGATGCATTATAAACATTCATAGAACTGCAGCACTGTAGAGTTGGAAGGCGCCAGAGGGTCATCTAGCCCAGCACCCTGCAATGCGGCAATATGCAGCTGTCCCATATGGGGATCAAACCTGTGACCTTGGTTTTATCAGCACCTTACTCATCTAACTGAGCTGTAGTGGGGAGGATGTAGTGGGGAGATCATACATGACAGAGGGCCATCCAACCTCTGCTTAAAAACCTCCAAGGAAGGAGAGTCCATCAACTCTCATGGGAGACCCGTTACACTTTCAAAAAGCTATTACCATCAGAATGTTCTTCCTGAAGTTTAGTCAGAATCTGCTTTCTTGTAACTTGAATCCTTTGGTTTGAGTCCCTCCCTCCAAAGCAAGAGAAAACGAGCTTGCTCCATATTCCATGGGACAGCCCTTAAGATATTTGAAGATGACTATCATATCTCCTCTCAGTCTCCTCTTTTCCAGGTTAAATATACCCAATTCCCTCAACCATTCCTCATAAGGCTTTGTTTCCGTTCATTACCCTTTTCCACCTCCTATGTAATAATATAAGGAATCAGCAGCTATCCAGTTTTAACTTGGATCCTTGTGGCTGTTTAGTTCCTTTTTTGATTGGCTTCAGAAGGGCCAGGTGTTCCTGACCATCTTGCTGGAGTACAAATCAATGCTAAGGTGGGATAGTTTCTGGAAACTCCCCACGAAACCTAATTGCTTCCCCAAACTCCTGCTTCCTTGTTGTTGCACTTATTTCTGGGCATGCTGACAAAGCAAAACAGTGAAATATTTGCCATGTCACAATCAATTTGCATTTACTTACTGTGGCAGCATATTTTTTATTTGTAGTCAGATTTTCCTTGCCATCCACAGCAAATGCCCATCCTTAGGGAAAAGGTTGTAGCTCATGTGTTGGGCAACCTGCTTTGCATGCAGAAGGTCCCAGGTTCAGCATCACTGAGCAGGATTCAACCAGTGTGCCTTGGCACCATGGGGTACCTTGAAAGATGGTCATGGGTGCTGTGGGAAACACTGGCCTGTCCCTCTTTCCTTCCCTCCTTCTTCTGATGCCCTCTCATGTCTCTGCCTTCAAAAGGCTCACACAGCTATTTTTTGCAGCAGCCCTGGCTACAAGCTGCACAGGCAAACGGTACCTCTGCAGCTGGCCAGGGGGTGCTGGTTGCCAGGAGCTGAGGCGGTCTCGGAGTAAGCAAGCAAGCAGGCGAGAGAGCCCAGCCTGCCAATCCCCCAGCCCTTGCTGCTGGGAATGGACAGACAAGTCCAGGGGTAGCAGCAGCAGCTACCCGGAGGACTCCCAAGGAGAGGAGGCTGAGTGGGTGTTCAAAAAAGGGTGAGGGGCTGCCAGCTCTGCAGGCAAGGGATGACATAACTGGGTTCCTGAGCCCCACAGGGGAGCTGCAGAAAAAATGTAGTTGGTCAAAAAGGTCGAAAGCTTCTGCTCTAGATGGACAGAAGGTACGGCTCGGTAAAATGTATTTCCCTATGTTTATATGTAACAGAAAGAAAAAGTGTGCTATTTTATGCCTCTAGGGTAAATTGAAGTGGCTACTTTTTTCCCAGCACCCAAAGGAAGAACCACATGAATTTAGGCGGGTTATTTTTTCCTTTTTGAGGGAGTGGAGGGGGAGCAGAGGAGGAGTGGTACTGGGAAATGAAAACAACTGGGGAAGGGCAGAGAAGGGCCAGTGTGCATTTTTGGGAAGTGGGAAGCTTTATCTCAGATGCTGAAGTTTTGAAAGAGAAAATTAAAATATTTTCTGTGAAGTCAAACAGATTGACTTTCATGGAATCATCATTCAAATTAACATGCATTGTCAGAAGTGTGCAGCCTTGTTTAGATTTCCTGTGTTCATTTTGTTTAAAATTTGTATGTGGAATTGACTTTACTTCACTGGAGTGGTCTAATCAGAGGAAAGAGGGACTCAACTGGCTTTTGGGGTGCTGGGTAGGGGCTCGCTCACTTCCTTTTAGGAAAATATATAAGTTTGTGTTCATTGTTAGTGCTTCTGAAAGTGGACCCAATGAAATTAATAGAAGTAAATTGATCATGTATATTGATTTCAAAGGGTGTTTTCCTAGTAGGACTAACAGATACAACCCACAGTACTTAACACACCTGTCTGCAGCACATGTATGAATGGATGCTATTATTCCTTTGTTAGGGGCAGAACACACGCATATATAAAATGTAGCCTTGTATCTTTTTGAATTATTATTGACACCAAAGCACATAGCTGAAGTACTGGGAGCAGGGAGATGGCAGTGAACTGTGATTTGAACAGGCATTTCAAGCGACACTGATTATTTTTATATACAGTTTGTAATGGTTGATTCAACATTAATCTTCCCAAATATTTTAACTTCTCTAAAAATAAATCTGTCAGTTTAGATAATAGGCAGAGAGGATAGAATATGGAACTCAGTCTAGATGGGCAACAAGCCATTGTGTCACTGAAGGGCTTTGGGCAAGTGGCCACTCTAAAAATGAGGATAACTAAGACCTACTTGACAGGGTTGTCATTAGGAGAAAGACAAATGAAAAAGTGATGTTGCCCACTCTGTGCCTTGGGATACCATCTATAGATTAGTTCACTTGTCCGTCTTCATTCAGAGGACTCAGGAAGGTATGACCTTCTTGCAAAACTTGGGATTCGCTGCTGCAGAATAAGGGCACTGGGATTCATATCACTATCATGGACTTTATGTGAATTCCCTTGTGACGCCTGCCTATTGCCAGTGGTTAAGTTGTCAAAATCCGTATGGGTCTGGTTCAGGATACAATTTGCCCAGCTTGCAAATGTTTTGGGGTATCACAAATCTAATGTTGTTTCCTTGGAAAGTTCTTGTCCAACCTATAGTCTGGAATGAGATTTTGTTCATCTGTGACCAGTCAGTTCACCCATGAAACACTAATCAATACTCAGACAGAGCTGTACAAACAAACTTGAAAGCTGTTTCTCAAAGATTGTGAAATGGTATAGTCCATGGATAGGGAACCTATGGTCCTCCATATATATATTTTTTTTGGGGGGGGGGTTGTAGCCAACTTTATTCTACTCTACCATTGAAACTACAGGGCCTAAGTTAATCATGTCCATAATTTTCAGTGTGTCTCGACTCCAACCCCCATCATCCATAACCATTGGCTATGCTGGCTAGTGGCTGATGGGTGTTGGAGTCCAACAACATTTGGAGAACTGCTGGTTCCTTGGATCAAGTGTAGTCCCTGAAATACAGGCACAGAGCACTGCTCAGAAAACTCACATTCCTTGGTTGAAAAATCCTAGATTCATCCTCTCACCCCTTGCGCAATGTTCAGTTTAATTCTGTCAAGTGAATGGTTTCCTCCACATCTAGGGGATGTCTAGTTCTTACTATGGGATGAATCAATACATATCAAAATAATATATTTCCTTCTCCTCTCCTCCTCTCCTTCTTTTGCCTCCCCTTTCTCCAGCCCTCAAACCTTTTAGCTCTAGCCCTGGAAATGTGCCTGTGTATCTCTCCAGTGGCGTAAGATGTGGTGAAGTTGCACAATATTTCCCCTTTGTGTTCCTCCACAAGCTATTTCCCCAGTGGTCTGCCTTTCCTGCCTGGACTTGGAACCTCACCTTTGTTGTGTTCCTGTGTTGTCGCTTAGGGAATTTGCCCGTTGGAAGGTGAGGAACACAGCCATCGAGCGGAGAGACCTGCTCCGCAATCCCGTCCCCCTGATGCCTGAGTTCCAGAGGAGCATCCGCCTGCTGGGCAGGAGGCCCACGACACAGCAGTTCATTGATACCATCATCAAAAAGTACGGCACACACATACTCATCTCTGCTACTTTGGGAGGTAGGTGGCAGTGAGGTTTGTACCTTTCCCACAAGGGTTTGGGGTAGGGGGTTGGTGAGTAAGGATGGGGGAGGATATTGGTTGTGTTTGCATTCCAAAGTGAACTTAGCTGATTTTGCATTTCCTCAACATATGCACAAAACAAAACACAGGTATCCTAAGAAATTCACACTCTTCCAGGCTTTGCAGCTCAGTTTTCCAACCAAATGATGTGTCTATTAAAGGAAAGTGTGTATAATTAGTGAAAATAACAAACAGAAAGGAATGTTACCAGCAAAAAAAGAAGAAAATTTATATAGTAGTCAAAACTTTATACACAGTGTCCATAAGCAGGGAAAACTGCACTTATGATTAATTTTTATGAGAATACTGTTGTTTGTTTGTTTGTTTGTTTGTTTTTTAAAAAAACACATATTCAAGGGTGAGGGACCCACTGAGTTGGTCTGCCCTAGAAGACTGGTGGAATCCTGAATGCTCTGGGGGATTTTTCAGCCGACATGGCTGACACTCTTGTTGAGTCTCTTGTCTCACTGTGGAATGGTGAAATGTGTGGAGTCATTGACACAATTGCTCCTGAGTGCACTCATCATTGCTTTGGAGCACATGGGTCTCCTTGATATTCCTGTGACCTGCATGCCATGAAGCAGGAGGGTTGGTAGTAGAGTGCAGGTGGTATAGGACCCTGTCTAAACCTGACAAACATGAGTGAGGCTGCTTCACCGTGTCTACCACGTGGCAGTGTTGGCAGCAAAGCAAGCCTACTTCTCTGTCACCATTGCATCCCCAATTAGCTGTCTTTGTCACCCTTGTTAGTGACATTTATTGAGAGAGAGAGAGAGAGAGAGAGAGAGGTGAGAGTATAACCCTGCTCATTCTCAATTTCTCAATGGCTTTTGATGTTGTTGACCACAGTATCCTTCTGGAGCATCTCAGGGAGGTGGGTGTTGGGGTCACTGTGCTTCTTCTTCCACTCCCAGGGCCATTTGCAGCAAGCAGTTATAGGAGGCTTCTGCTCAGCACCATGGGAATTCTGCAGTGTCCTACAAGGCTTTTCATTTAGAGAAAATGTGGGTTAGAAGTGACATGCTAGACGTTTTTTAAAATTATGCATGGCATGGAGAAAGTGGGCAGAGAAAAGTTTTTCTGCTTCTCTTATAACACTGGATTCTGGAAGATTCAGGACAAGCAGAAAGAAAGTACTTCATCACTCAGAGCATAGTTAAACTATGGAACTCACTCCTGCAGGAGATAGTGGTAGCCACCAACTCAAATGGCTTTAAAAGAGATTAGATGGATTCATGGAGGAGAAGGCTATTGAGTGATGTGCTGCTTTGCTGAGAGATATTGATACTTCTGAATACCAGTTCCTGCAAACCACAGAAGAGGAAAGGACCCTTGTGCTCAAGTCCTGCTTATTGACTTCCCACAGGCATTTGTGTGGTCATTGTGGGAACAATATGCTTCACTAGGTGACCTGATCAAGCAGGTTGTTCTTATGTTCTTAAGTGGTTTGTCTCACTCCAGCCAACTCATCCTGTGCATATCTACTCAGAAGTAAACTCTGTTGAGTTCAATGGGACTTTCTTCCAGGTAAACATGTATAACAAGGCTGGGGAACCTTGCTTAGACTGAGGGCCATATTCACATATGTGCAGCCTTTTGAGGAGCCCTCATGCTGCTGTTGGCAAGGGCCAGAGGCAGAAACAAGCAGAACAATGAATCTGACTCTTAACTTTGAACACGAAGTTATATTCCAGCCATGCAAAACCCAGAGGTTTCTTCACACATAGAAACACCCCTCTCCATTCATGCAAGCAAGAGGCACTATTGCAGCACAAGGGCACATTCCAGCCATGCAAAAGCACTCAAGGGTGTGCCCTGTGGGAAGCAGGTGTGGCCTGTGGAGAGTCCTGAGGGGTAAACAGAGAAGCCTGAGGTTCCCTATCCCTATTGTTTAGATTGTTGCTTCAGGCTTCAATTCAGTTCACACTTGCCTGAGATTAAACTGCATTGAACACAGTGGCACTTTTCTGAACAAACAAGCAGATGATCTGACTGCGTGCCTTGAATTTACATGAGGAGGGACTAGGGTTTGCTTCTTCATTTCACCTCCTACAACCAGCCAATTTTCTTTCCTTTTCCTTTTTTTCTTTCTTTCTTTTTATCTCCCTGGAAATTCCAAATAACACAGACCTTTTGACGGTGAAATATATTTTTAATTTTGTTCAGGCGCGATGGTGAATTATTCACCTTGGCTTGTTCGTGCTCCTGATTTTATGACACAACACTTTAAAATATGCACAGGCTTGTAACGAGAGCTGGCGATGGACAACGGAGCTAAGCGTTCCATCAGCCCCCAGCACAGAGCGCATGGGGAGGGAGAGCCGCCAGGGAAAGGCGCAAGAGGAATGAAAGATTCGTCTTGATGGCAGTAAAGAGGAGGATGAGGCAAAGGGACCCTCTGGGGAGCATGCATTGTTTATGAGCAGAAGTATTTTCCTATTTGGAGACTTCAGGTTCACACACACACATACACACACACACACACACACTTCCCCGATTCAACCAGAATATTCATACAACCTATCATCTCTTGACATTTGATAGCTCCTCTTTCTCATTGGGATAATGCAGACAATGTACTTACCCCAAAAGAGCTTGAAAACCACAACACTGGAAGGCATTCCAGTGCCAGCTTCTTAGTGCTGATGGGTACTAATGAAGCCCTAAGTGTGCACATTATTCTTTCTTTCTCAAGTCATAAGTCTTGTGCCATCCTTTGTTAGGGTGTAACATGGGGAGTTGCGTGGTTGAGTGCTCCTCTGTGTCTCATTGCCCTCGTTGGTGTACGGAACATTGTGCTATGCTGGTGCTGTGCTCAGACCAGGGAGATCCAGGTTCACGTCCCCGCTTGGCTGGGGAGCTCACTGGTTGACCTTGAACCACTCAGCCTAACCTACTTCATAGGGTCGTTCTGAGGATAAAATAGGGGTTGAGCCATGTATGCCATCTTGGATGAAAGGTTGGATATAATGTGATGAATAAAGAAACTCTTGGAAATTGAAAACCATTTGCCCATGATAAAGGTTCACACCTAGCATGTTCACTGACCTATTGGCTTTCTATGTACAGAGTGGGGGTTTTGGGGGGCGGGGGTGGGGGCGGGGGGGTGTTGTTTGGGATGTTGGAATATACTCAGTGAGTAATTATTTTTTGTAAACACTATATAGCCCCAACGTAATATTACTGTTCATCATGTCAAAGAGAAGTGCAGACTTTGAACACTTTTACCCAACATGAAACTTTTCTGTGTGGATTCTTTTGTTGTGTGTGTGGAGGGGTGAGGGGGGTGGATTTGGAAGAGCATAGCATCATAGAAATCCTCACCTGCATGCAACCACATGTTGTATGATGCAACCACACTTGGAAAACCGAATACACTTTTGTTCACCACTGGAGTACAATATTACAACTGATCAAATGATTGGAGCAACTCTCTTATGAATAAATGTTATGACATTTGGGGCATTTTAGCTCAGAAGAAAGTGATTAAGGTGGGGAGACATGTATAAAGATGAAGGGAGGGAAACTGGTGTATAAAGTTTGCATGGGGTGGAGAAAGTGGATAGGCGTAGAGGATTTTCTCCCTTTCACATAATGCTAGAAACAAAGTCATCCAATGAAGTGGAATAGTAAAAGAACAAGGCAGGTAAAAGGAAGTACTTATTTGCACACCTTAAAGCAAATCCCATAGTACAGTTTTAAAAGGGGATTAAACAAATTCACAAATTCAGTGGCTACTAGCAATGATGACTATACAGTGTCTTCATGTTTCTGAGTACTGGGTGCTGAGAATTTCAAGAGGGATGCAACCGTTGTGCTTGTGTCCTGCTTGGGGGGCTTCCCAAAGGCATCTGGCTGTCCACTGTGGGAACAGAGTGCTGGGCTAGATAGGATGTGGTGAGGAACAGGAGCCAAATACAGCCCTCTAAGCCTTTCTGTCTGTTCTTTGGGACTTCCCCAGTCCACACCCCCTTTTCCTAGGCCACACTGGCCTCCAGCCCTGCTTTGTAGCCTTCTTGAAAATTTTCCCCTGCCTGGGATGTGTTCTTGCTTGTCGGGGTGGGGTGGGGGTGGGGGGAGGAGAGAGAGAACTAGCCAAATGTAGGTGCATTATTTGTTCCACCTACTTTTTGTCTATGGTCCCACCCACCACTGTCAGGAAGCTTGCCCTGGAGGAAATGTGGGCCTTGGGCTGAAAAAGGTCACCACATCTGAGACAGACCTTGGGTCTGATCCAACAGAGATCATCTAGTGTTCTTAGGTGCTACTGAAAAGACAGTCTCCTCAGAGATAAGAACTAAGCCTCTAAGTTCTACAGTGAGTAATCTCTCACTGTTTTGCTGCCTTTGCATCAAAATGGTGTCCACAGTTGCGACCAAAACAGTAACATTCAGGTGGAAGAGGGTAGTATCTTCTGACTAGTGGAAATACCAAGATTTGCAAAAGTACAAATGTAGGAACAAAAGAAGCGGCCATGTGAGTCATACCATTGGTCCATCTAGCTTGGTATTGTCTACACTGACTGACAGAGGCTCTCTAAGATTTCAGTCCAGCCCTTCTTAGAGATGCTGATGCTCTACCACTGAGCTCAACCTGGAGGTGAGTTCTACCTCAGATCTAATTTTTCACACTGAGGATCACTGAGGACCTGCAGATCAACACACCATTACCTATGACTGACATCTCATCTCTCTGAAACTCATCAGTGAAATAGCTTGCCCTAAACTGGTTTCTGAAGCAGGGAGTCATCTGTCTATCTTGATAACCAGATAAAATTGGGGTGGGGAGGCAGAATGCAAAAGTGATACACTTTCAAGAAGAAGAAGAAGAGTTTGGATTTGATATTCCGCCTTTCACTCCCTTTAAGGAGTCTCAAAGCGGCTAACATTCTCCTTTCCCTTCCTCCCCCACAACAAACACTCTGTGAGGTGAGTGGAGCTGAGAGACTTCAAAGAAGTGTGACTAGCCCAAGGTCACCCAGCAGCTGCATGTGGAGGAGCGGAGACGCGAACCCGTTTCTCCAGATTATGAGACTACCGCTCTTAATCACTACACCACACTGGCTCTACACCACAAGAGCACTTTTGCCCATTCTGATATGCTTCAGACATTGTTGGACTCTAAGCAGCCACAGGAAGCATGGTCAACGGTCAGGGATCATAGAATCTTAGAGTTGGAAGGTACCCCAAGGGACATCTAGTCCAACCCCTACAATGCAAGAATTTCAGCTAAAGAGTCCATGACAGATGGCCATCTATCCTCTCTTTAAAAACCTCCAAGGAAAGAGAATCCATCACCTCTCATAGGAGTCTGTGCCACTGCTGAACAGCTCTTACTGTCAGAAAGTTTTTCCAAATGTTTAGATGGAATCCCATTTTTTGAAACTTGAAGCCATTGGTTCAAGTCCTACCCTCCAGAGCAGGAGAAAGCAAGCTCTCTCCTCCATGTGACAGCCCTTAATATAGTTGAAGGTGGCTATCATATCTCCTCTCAGTCTCCTCTTTTCCAGGTAACATACTCAGCTCCTTCAAGCACTCCTCGTAAGGCTTAGTTTCCAAATCCTTGATCATCTTGGTTGCCCTCCTCTGCACCCACTCCAACTTGTCAACATCCTTCTTAAATTGTGGTGCCCAGAATTGAACACAGTATTCCAGGTGTGGTCTGACTAAGGCAGAATAGGATGATAGTTGTAGTTGAAGAATAGCACAGCTTCCCCTTCTCTGTCTTATATGTTCACATTCTCCATATCAGGATTCCAACACCTCATTCTGTTACATGAGTAGACCAGATGCCTATACAAGTCTAACAGCTCTAGGTTAGATTACTGCAACATGTTGCATGTAGGACTGCCTCTGAAGACTGTCCAGAAACTTGAGATGGTGCAGAATTCAGCAGCCTGGTTGCTCGCCAGGACAAGAAAGAACATACAAATCCAATCCTGGCCTGACAGCAGTGTCTGCTAATTAGGTTCCAGGCCCAATTCAAAGTGCTGGTTTTGAGGTCAAAACCATAAACCTTAAACAGCTCAGGACCACAATACCTCAAGGACCACCTCTCCCCAACCTGGACCCTCCAATCATCATCAGAGGCCCTTCTTCGTGTGCTTCCTCTGCATGAGGTCTGGAGAGCACAACATTAGAACAGGCCTTTTCTGTGGTGGCTACCGGTTTGTGGAATGTTCTCCCCAGGGAGGCTCACCTGGCATCTAAAGTTATGTAATATTCTTTTCCCCCCAGACCTTTGGCTAACTAAATAATCTAGGACCTTTAAACTATGGGCAGAGGCAGGGGGGTATATTGTTATTGTTCGTTACTATGGTATGGTATTTGGGGGGGGGGTATTGTAAATTGCCCTGTGATTTTCAGATGAAGGGCTTTATAGAAATTTAATAAATAATAATAATATTTATGCTGATGATGACGTCAGTTCTCAAGAGAATGTATGGAGTGCCAGCACTGGACATCTTCTGTTTGGGCTGATATGAGCTGAGATAAGCCTCCAGTGTTTGATCTGTGACAGCATCTTTGTGTATGCATGTCATAACTTGATGGTAAGCCTGGTTCTCCTGGTCTTCTGGTGGGGCTCAAACCTAATCAGAAAATCAAGGAATGTAGAAATGTGCACAGCCATGGTCTTATCCTCTGTTGCCATCTGCTTAACACCTGAGTTCTGGAAACACCTAGAGTCCAGTCCCTGATGTAGACCAATGGACTAAATTAGAGATTGTGTTAATTGTGTGGATGCAATTAATGTGCTTTTTTCTTTCCTTGTGCAGATAGTGGCTGAGGGGAAGCCTGAGCAACCACAGGACCATGGATGTGTGTGTGTGGAGGGTCATTTTTCAGCCAAAATAAGACTCCCTTAGTAGCTTAGAAGAATCTGTAATAACATGGTTGCAGCATTTAGGCTCATGCTCTAAAAGACATGACAGAAAAGGAAGGGGAGATTGGGAGGGAGAAGGAAAAACAACCTCACTAAGATCTCTTCCAGCCTGTTGCTATTTTCAAGTGGGATTTAATCACAAAATGGGATTTAATCACAAAGCCGAATTGCACAATTATAGGTGATTGGAAGGTCTTGTGCAACAACCATACTTTTTCGAAAGATTAGACTTCTGGGGATAAGGAGAGCGGCTGGAAAATGCACTGAGAAGTGTGGGACAACACTTGCTTTGATGCAACATCATCCAACCTCCCTGTATACAGATAAGAAAGAAAAGTAATTAAATCGCCAACACCATCTAATCTCCTTGAATGGATGAAAGTTCAATAAACAGGACACCTGGAAGCATCTTAAAACACTAGCTCTTAATTGCAGAAGTCTTCGAATTGTTCTTTAAGTTCCATGGTCATGGCAAATATCACCTCTCTGAGGCTGCTACTTGCATATCAAGGAAACCTCTTTATTGGCAGCAACAAAGGCTTCCCAGAAGCGGAAAGTGTGCAACAAGATTAGGGAGGTCTCATTTGTTGCAGCATGTCTGGCCCTCCCAGCCTAATTCTGATCTGTCCCAGTGCCAATCCCTTTGTCCCAGTGCCAGTAAAAGGCCCTGTCCTCTTTTTGTTTCTGTACAAAAGAAGAAGTAGAAGTAAAGAGAGAATGTGCTAGGCAGTTCCTTGGAAATTCATCTGCTTGAGGATGGAGTGGGCAGAGCTGAAAGCTAATTTTCAGGGAATGCCCTGAAGGGAAGATGACTTTGAACACTGCGTCTGCTTAATAAATGAGAAATTAGGACTTAATAATGCAGAAAAAATCTATTAACCCTTCTTGATTACTGTTGCTGGCTCTTTCCAGGGAGGTGATGTGTTGCTCTTTTCCTCCCTTCCTCGAACATATCCACCCATGCTTTTTGCAGGTGAAAATGGGCATGCTCACAATTGTGACACCACTTCTTTCATCTCAGTGACCGCTACTCCATAGTACCTCTGTGCATGTCGCCTCCCCCCAATTTGATTTAGGACCTGATTTGGTGTTTCAGAGCAGCCCTGATCTGACCTGGGATGGTTTGGGGTACACTTGGCATCAGAACTGTATGAGCAAATAGGCATGCATATGTATAACTTAAGTTTGGGAAAAATCTCTCTCTGTGTGTGTTTGAGTGTGTGTGTATTGCCAAGACAACACTCCTAGCCCTAATTGTGCTATTGTTCTGCAAACACTGCGTCAATGTTGTCAAGCACATATAAGTACTAGAAGCCTTTACTTTTTAAATAGAAGCAGAGATCCTCCATGTGTCCTTCATCAGGTTTCACAAAATCCCATACACTTTCCACATCACCCTAGATTCTTCCTAGTGTTCCAAACGATGCTTTTGTTGCTTATGGTTTAAAACAACATCGATGAAGAGAATGTAAAATGGCAGATTTGCACTGAGATGTGAAGCTTTCCTTATGGTTCTTTTTCATACTTTGGTTGTCAGTGATGTGGTAACACTTTTACACTTTCTCCTTATCATCACCGTGATTCTTCTCCTTCTCACAAACCTCTTCCTTCTCCTTCCTCCTCCTTTCTTATTCCTCCTCCTCCTCCTTCCTCCCCCTCCTCTTCCTCTTCCTCGCATTCATGCTTTCTTCTTTTCCCTGCTAGGAGAGGAGGCTTTGACCATGTACATGGATAAAAGCCGACTCGATCGAAAGTCGAGCAATGCCTCTCAAAGTGTCGAGTCCCTTCACCAGCTCGCCTCCTCCTATTTCTTGGACCGGGATGGAACTATGAGGCGCCTTCATGAGATCCAGATCTCTACCGGAGCAATCAAGGTATGGCTTTGGTTGCATGTGTTCACTGAGCCTGAGGAAACTGGATTTAAAGAGAGTGAGGGTACTGATGTTGTGATGGAAAGGGACAGCATCACAACATTTAGGAGGCATTTTGTTGCAGGTAAGGATTGGGGAGAATTTTGATTTTCTTTTCCTCAAACGATAAATGATTTTAAACACATACATCCTTTGAAATTCTTTCTTCTCTTAAATTTGTGGTGCACTTCCCTAACTAAATAATGTGTGCAAAAAATGTATTAACAATTAGAAAGTGTGCATATACATTATAATTTGAATACAAGGAGAAATGTGCATGACTTTTATTAATTAAATTTATATACCACCCTTTATCCAAAGATCACAGGGCAGTTTACTGTATAGAAACACAAAATATATAAAACAACCACCGCAGCAGCAACAAAACAACCCCCCCCCCCGAAACATTTTAAAAGCCATAGATTATTTAATTAGCCAAAGGCCTGGGAGAAGTGGAATATTACATAACTTTAGATGCCAGGTGAGCCCCCCCTAGGGACAGCATTCCACAAAGTGGAAGCCACCACAGAAAAGGTTTGTTCTCATGTTGTCACCCTCTCGTGGAGGATGCATTAAGAAGTAGGGCTTTAGATAATGTACAGGGTCCAAGTCAGTACATGTTATGTTGCTGATGAAATGTCATGAGGACTTTTCATATACAAAGAATTGGGAATTGGTGCAGAAATGTAAATAGCTGAACTTGAGATTGGAAAAATGAGAAATTGAGAGAAAGGGTTTATTGTGCATAATAAACAAAAAAGGCAGTGCTGCCCAATGAAAGTGTTAGGAGGAGCAGGGTGGAAGATGCCCACTCCTTTGGACATAAGGTGTTGCTGCTGGTGGTGATGTGTTTGTTCCAAATGCTGTTCTTCCAAAGGGTTGCTGTGCAGGTCCAAAACATTTGGAAGGAGTAAGTAGCAGTCTTGAGAAGCTCCACCACCACCACAGGCAAGGCAAAAATAAAAATAAGGAAAAAAGGAACTGTTGCCACTATCACCACCAATTAGAACACAACACCCATTTTCTTTTCTTTCTCTTTTTAAAGCACTTTGCTTCCTCCCAAAAATCAGCCCCTGCAGATACAGGTGCCCAAACCCACAAAAGTTAAGCCAACAGTTTTCTTCTCAGAAGGAAACAAAGCCTTAATGAGGAATGGTTTTGGAGCTGGGTATGTATAGGCTGGAGGAGAGGAGATTGAGAGGGGATATGATAGTCATCTTCAAATATCTGAAGGGCTGTCACACTGAAGATGGAGTAGGCTTGTTTTCTCTTGCTCCAGAAGGTACGACTCAGACCAATGGATTCAAATGATGGGAAAGGAAATTCTAACTATACATTAGGAAGAACTGGCTGACAGTAAGAGCTGCTCAGCAGTGGAATGGACTACCTCAGAAAATGATGGGATCTTATTTATTGGACGTTTTGAAACAGAGGTTGGATGGCCATCTGCCAGGAATTCAGATGTGATGACTGCATTTCAGGGGGTTGGACTAGATGTCACTTGGGGATCCCAGCCACACTTTTAGCCTTTTTAAAAAATGTGCTGTAATGCATACCCTTGAGTACCCCCAGAAAAAAACCCCACTGGCTGTTGCCCATAGGGTATGGAAGAGCAGAAGGCAGGAAGGCCAACTGTTGGTGGAACCAGAGTCACTGATAGACAGAGCCAACTAATTCAACTTTTGTCCCCATCCTCATTCTTGCTGAGTTCCACAAGGGATTTAGGAGGACAAGGAGGGGCCACCCTACCCCCTGGTTTGGTTGTAAGCAGGCAGGCAGGCGTGGACTAGTTGGCAGTGCCCTATCTGCCCTAACGAACCAGCCCCTGCAGCTTCGGAGTATGTCAAGTTCAGCTCTAGCCAACACCTCACAAAACCCAACCAGGCAAATCACCACAGAAGCTGCTGAAGCGATAGGAGGTGGAGAGGAGCATCTTTGCACAGAGAGAGAGAGAGAGAGAGAGAGAGAGAGAGAGAGAGAGAGAGAGAGGAGCTCACACAATGGTAACTGTTGTTTCTGTCCAGCCTTTTATGCTGCACAATTTAGCTTGGAAGTCTTTTCACAGGCTCTCAGGTGTATCAGCAACAAGAGCTGACAATAGGACCGGACAATACTTTTCCAGATACAGGTGGTCAGGGATGCAGAACAAGGCATGGGAGAGTAGCAGCGGAGGGGCACTGACAAAAGAAGCAGAAATGGGCCTTCAGACAAAGACCTTTTCAATCTGTGAAAGCAATCTACTGATACCGGATGAATGGAGCGGGGGGCGGGGAGAAAAAAAGTCACATTCCCCAAGCAAAGGTATAATTAAGCTATTACAGGCTGCAATCCCCGCCCCCCCCCAAAAAAAACACCTCCCAACACTGGAAGTTACTTTGCAATTTTATTGCATTTATATCCTACCTTTTCTCTGAGAAGTTCAAGGTGGTGCACATGGTTCTCTACCTTCTCATTTATTCCCCAAAACAACCCTGTGAGCATCCCAACCCACACCCAGACCAACCCATACCTGGACCAACAAGGACAAGTGACTGGGTTTTAATTCTTTGTTGGCAAAGCACTCAGTTACATTGGCTCCCAACATGCAAGTGCTATACAACACTCTCCACTAGCTAGCTGCCTAGGCAAACTTTGAGGGTTCCTCCTCAACAGCTGTTCAGACTACTCTCATCACTTTAAGCTCCTCCTCAAGTGTGGAAGCAATGGGGAAGAGGAATTCCCCTGGGGATTCTGGAAACATGACCCCCTCATGGAGAAATTCATGGTGTGTGGAAAGTGGACAGAAATTTTTTTCCCCTCCCTCCCATATAACATGAGCTGAATGAATTTTGTGAAATTTAGGAAGGACTCTTAAACGAAAGAACTTTACAGAGGGCAGAGTTAAATTGTGGTTCTCTCTCCTACACGTGGCAGTGAGGGCCACCAACTTGGAAGGCTTTAAAAGAAGATAAGGCAAATTCTTTGAGTAAAAAAAAAATATTGATGGGTACAAGCCACCATGGCAAGGCTCTCCCTTCACAACTGGAGGCACTAAATGTCTCTGAATACCAGTTTCTTGGAATCACAAATGCAGAGACAACTCTTATCCTCAAGTAATACATGAGGACTTTCATTAGATATGCATTTGGCCATCATGAGAACAGAGTGGTAGACCATATGGGCCTTTTGTTCTGATCCAACAGGCTCTACTTGCATACCATTCCCTAGTTTTTACATACTGTTGGCAAAGGAAATGATTTTGCTTGCTTTCTTTTTAAAATCTCTGCTGCTTTAGGTAACCGAAACACGGACAGGCCCATTGGGCTGTAACAGTTACGACAATCTGGACTCTGTGAGTTCTGTCCTTCTGCAAAGCGCTGAGAGCAAACTCCACTTACAAGGTAAGGGGAGAAAGGAGTTGGACTTACTGGCGTCAGTATCTGATCTCCATTCCATTCCCTGTCTGGGATGTTCCACGACCTTTTCCTGAAGTTTTGTAGCATTGAATGAAAATTCCCCACCCTGAATTCACTGCCCTGTTCACATGGAGTAAAAGGGCAATTTCAGTGATATTTTTGAAGGTATTCACCACATTTTTCAGGGGGGACTTAGGTGGAAAAGCTGTGATTTTTTTTGTTTCTTTTTTAAAACTTTGACTGCATATACCCTATACATTTAAGGCACCCCTTTAAAAAACAGTTCACAGGAACTGTAATTTGCCAAGGGTGCTGGGAATTGTGGCTTTGAGTGGTAAACTATAGTTCCCACTATAGTTCTCGGGTATGTGTATTTCAAATGTATGGTGCTTATGCAACCTTTGTTTTGCTTCTGCCCCCCCCCCCCAACACTGGCCTTCAGAACAATACTACTTCATCATACACCCTACTCACACATTCTGTGAACCCAATTAATCTGAACTAGGAACCTTTAAGCCCAGCCATATTCTGTTTTTCCTTCTCTTTCTTTGCTGATGCATGTTTCTGGTCCTTTTACTTGTGGTAATATAAGGAAAGCTGTGGATGGAATCACTCTCCTCAGCGGTCAATGAATGCAAAGGCAGTGGGACAACTGACACCTAACATGATCTTACTTTGAAATGTTTGGTTTAGGGTGCAATCAAAACTATCTTTGTGCTGGGCTTGGGTGGTGGTGGTGGATTGGGCCAAGGTGCCCTTCCATCCAGTTCTGCTGGCCTCTGTCTTTGAAATGATGCCACCATCACTTCACTAATGTGGAGCTCCTCCTTCCACCAACCTAACATGTAGGCTGATGGAAGTGCCACTGGCTGGTTCCCCAGCAGCAAGAGTCCATGGAAACTCTTGAAACAGAGCATTCTGGCAAGGGGTTGAACAAGCTCAAGATCCACTAGATTCTGAGCCAACCCCATTGACACATGGTGGCAGAGGACCTTGATGTGCAGTGATCTGCCTGCCCTGCTTTGCCCTGGAGTCCAAACTAGCATTGCCAATGGTCAGGGATGATGGGATTTTGCATCCAACAACCTGGAGGGTACAGGTTCTCTGTCCTGGACTATAATAATGACAACATTCCCAGCCAAAGGTTCCAGCCAGAAGCATCCAAAGTTTGGTGATATCCAGTGTGGGGTTTTATATCTGAGGGTACTCTCTGCAAAATAAATTAACTGAGCCTGGTTGTGATGGTCCTTTCTCCTCCTTACAGACTCTTGCAACTCAGGACAGTAAGTGGTATCTTGGAGACGTTGCTCTTTCCCCTAAACTGTCCTTCAAGCCACAACAGATTACTGATTCATGACAGTGGTTTGTGCTTGGCTGCTAATCAGATCAGAGGAGACACATTACCTGTGGCCCTGTAAATAATGCTTAATGAGCTCTTGCAAAGCAGCTGGAGAAGAAAGTCAAAGATCTTAGCTAATTATTCTGAGAGCCACCTTCTCGATTGTAGTGGGGGAGAGAGAGAGAAGAGGAGGGTAAGGCTAAAGCGTAGTTTTAAAGGTTACAGATATATTGTAAGGCACCCATCCTATTCTCCTGGCTAAGTAACCTCTGCTAGTCTTGCTCATACGAAGCTATCTGATAACTGAGTTACACCACTGTCTTGACTAGTGCTGCTAACAATGACATTCTGAAGCCTTTCTCAGTCCTGATGCCTTAACCTGGAGTTCGACATGGAATCTTTGTCACATTAAGCACACTCTTCCCCCCTCACTCCCAACATTGCCTACAATTGTCTTTGCACAGCACTGGATTAAACTGTGCAATTCACTTCTGAAGAAGTGCTGGCTACCAAAGTTGTTGATGATGATTTCAACAATTTATATACTACTTAATCATAGTCATCTCCAATAGGATTCAACAAATTCATGGAGGATAAGGCTATCAGTTGCTACTAGCCATGGTGGTTTATGTTCTCCCTCCACTTTTGGAGGCAGCATGAGAAACACAAATGAGGGAGCGAGGGTTGTTGCACTTGGGTTCTGCTTGTATGCTTCTGGGAGGAATCTGTTTGGCCGTTATAATAAAAGAATGTTGGAGTAGATGGGCCTTTGTTCTGACCCAGTAGAGGTCTTCTTATGCTCCCTTTCTGTTCTGTGTTGCAGTGGCTCCTTGGTGATCTCTGGCAATGGCCTGTCCGAACCCATCTCTGCTCCTGAGATCCTTAGCTGGAGATACTAGCCCTCCCACTTTTGAATGTAGGGAGGGTGATTAGACTCTTGGGCAATTCTCTTAACTCAAAAACTTCCCATCTTGCTCGTCAAGGGAAAAGACTGTAGCTTAGTCATCTTTGTGATATCTTAGTTTTCTATGTGCAGGTAGGTTATAAACTGAGGGAAAATTTAAATGAAGACGAAAAAGCTAAAAAGAGTCCTGTGGAATCAGACCAAAGGCTAATTTCAAGTAGGAAGAAACTGTGTATCCCCAGATGTTGTTAGACTACACTTTCACTTATCCCAGCCATTAGCTTGGTCTGGCTGGAGTTGCTGTCCACTAGCATCTAAAATCATAACTGTAGTGGTTCCAATCATGGCAGTTAGCCATAGCAAGTATGTTAAGAGTAAATAGAGGATGAATGATAGTATGAATGACTACAGCAGCAACCCACTCAGCCCTTGTTTGGATTACACTGTGAATCAAGACTGCCAGTTTGGATTCCTTTTGTTATTACTAAAGAGCAATGTGGTCGTATGATACCATCAATTGGGTTGTCAGGTTTCAGGGTTAGATCTGAAGGCTTGACCTTCTCTGGGTCTCAGTGGGGAGCAGTTAGATTTCATGGTGATGTGTTTGAATCAAATGGGACAGTTTTTGTTGGGCTTTGAGTATTTGCCATTCTTCACACCCTCCAGTCCATCCAGAGACACCAAACTCACAGCTTAAATTCTAGCAAAATTGGGTTGAAGCAATGGCCCTTGCTAGAAGGGCAATGTTCTGTCCCGAGGAGCAGAGTCACCTCTTTTAGGGTAAAGTCAAGATAGATTAGGCAGGATTACAAAAGGCCCCAAACCCTGGCCTTTCAGGACCCTGAACAAATCACTGGCACATGCTGGCTAGGAACTCGCCGAAGGACAGTTATCTCAGCGCCACTATTAGGCCTTATAAAGGGTAGCTGGTCTGGACCTGATGTTAACCCTGCCCTTGTTGTTTCTCAAAGGGTCATTGCCTGATTCTGTAGCAGCTGGCTCTGATAGCTGAGGTCTGGATTGTTAAAATGCTTTCTGGATTGTAGGGTTTTGACAAAGCTTTGCCCTCTAGCCTGGAAGCTCCTGGAGTGGGGGGGGGCAGACAATGGCTCCCCACATGATTCATCATTTCCTTCTGAATCTTCTTTGAGCCTGGGGGGGGAGGGTTGAAACTAGAGTGCGTGGCACACAGGTGCCACTATTGTTGTTGTTTAGTCTGACTCTTCATGACCCCCTGGACCAGAGCATGCCAGGCACTCCTGTCTTCCACTGCCTCCCGCAGCTTGGTCAAATTCATGTTGGTAGCTTCGAGAACACTGTCCAACCATCTCGTCCTCTGTCGTCCCCTTCTCTTTGTGCTCTCCATCTTTCCCAACATCAGGGTCTTTTCCAGGGAGTCTTCTCTTCTCATGAGGTGGCCAAAGTATTGGAGTCTCAGCTTCAGGATCTGTCCTTCCAGTGAGCACTCAGGGCTGATTTCCTTCAGAATGGAGAGGTTTGATCTTCTTGCAGTCCATGGGACTCTCAAGAGTCTTCTCCAACACCATAATTCAAAAGCATCAATCCTTCAGCAATCAGCCTTCTTTATGGTACAGTTCTCACTTCCATACATCACTACTGGGAAAACCATAGCTTTAACTATATGGACCTTCGTCGGCAAGGTGATGTCTCTGCTTTTTAAGATGCTGTCTAGGTTTGTCATTGCTTTTCTCCCAAGAAGCAGGTGTCTTTTAATTTTGTGACTGTTGTCACCATCTGCAGTGATCATGGAGCCCAAGAAAGTAAAATCTCTCACTGCCTCCATTTCTTCCCCTTCTATTTGCCAGGAGGTGATGGGACCAGTGGCCATGATCTTAGGGTTTTTTTATGTTGAGCTTCAGACCATATTTTGCACTCTCCTCTTTCACCCTCAATAAAAGGTTCTTTAATTCCCCCTATTAGGTGCTGCTGAAATCCTTCCTGACACAACCAAGATGCTAATGTACCCTAATCTACTAGGTCCCAGACCCTGCCCCCATGACTCAAAGTCTCAGCTGAATCTGTGGGAACATTTGGAATAACAGAAACTCTTTGGGCATTCTATAGTATATTACAGGTTTCATTAACCAGCTTGAGGACTGCCTCTTCCTTTATGCGCCTGTTGCATAATGCCAAATGTTACAAAGAAGTGTTACACTCAGAGATTTCGTCCACGTTTTAAAGGCAGTGTTATTGTTCTTGTACAATAAGCATTAGTATTATTACATTTATATCCCGCCATTCCTCCAAGGAAATCAGGGTTGTACACATGGTTCTCCCATTCCCCATTTTATTCTTTGTGACAATCCTGTGAGGTAAGTTAGGCTGAGAGATGGTGACTGGTTTGAGGTTACCCAGGGAGCTTCATGGCTAAGTGCAGATTTGAACCCTGCTCTTCCAGGTCTTAGTCCAGCACTCTAACCATTGTACCACAGTGTCTTCCATCAGCCCTAACTCCCATCAGCCCCAGCCAGAATGGCAAATGGTCAGTTAGAGTCCAGAGACATTGGGTGGATAGCATGCTGGCTCACCCTGTTATGCTGCTTCCTTGAGGTGCCTTTCTAAGCTAACTTGCCTAGTGCTGTTTTTTTGCTGATGCTGAATCTATAAGTTCTCAAAATGTGGAGGGGGGAGTAAGGAAGGAGGGAGATGGGGAGAGAGAGAAGAGATGGAAGCTACTTAAGGATTATAACTCCCAGCTCAATTCAGTAGGATCTGCAGGTGCTAGACATGTCCTTTTCTTGTGAGGAAAAAAGGAAAAAGATCGTGACCTGAATCTGCTGCCACGGCCCTCCCCTTTCCTGCTGTGTCCCATATATCATTCCTATTGACTGCAGTGCTATGTTTATCCTCCCTGACAGCTGCCACTGCTCCCCTCTTGCTTGAAAATTGGGTCAGACAAAACTGGGTGATTCACTGCCATTGGGCAAGGAGTTCTAATCTGGACAGGCAGCCCAGAAGAGAGTGGCCTGTTTTCTATGAATCATTATGACCAATATGAACAAGCAGGTCATGCAACAAAATGTTGCAGCATTTTCTCACCTCCTTATCAGAGTGCTTCTGTTCAGGGTTCCAGCCAGCTAGCCACAGATTCTCCAGTCTGAAGATCTTGTTGTTGTCTATAACTTCTTCAAACACTACAGTTAAACCAACTGTGCTGATACCTCCCTCCTGTTCTTTGGTGCCCACATTTCTGGTGGCACTCGTCACCAGAACTTGCTATTGGAGAGATCATAATTATCTGCATCCAGCTCTCCATCTGAAGAGCTCATAGAGCCATCCCATTTTTATCCTCATGACAACCCTGTAAGGTAGGTTTGTGTGAGAAAGTATCACCCCTCGTGCAGTGGTGGCTGGTGTTGGTTGAAACCGCTAGGGTTAGAATTCCTACCTGCTGAATTCTACAGAGGGCAACACTGAGACTAAGGGAGAGGAGGCTGTCAGTCAGAGTGGCACTCCTACACAGGTTGTTAGGTAGGAAGGCAGGCAGGCGAGAGGGAAGTGCTGGCTGAGGGCAGCGTGAGATTGATAGGGCAGTGCCCCATTTGCCATATGGCCCAGCCTCTACTGCCTTGCAGTCAGGATTTTAACCTCAGCCTTTCTTATCCTCACTACATAGCATTTCTGTTCTATTCTACCTATCTCATACACTGCTGAGCATCTATCAGATTCTGTAGCAGCTAGTAAGACTTAGTCCAGAATTCTTTTTGTATTGGAATGAGTACTATATAAGGCATTTTATTTACATATTTATTTTAAAATTGTGCTCCTTTCATCCTTTTTAACCCCCTTCTTCACTGGCTATTTGTGTCCTGGCTGCACTTATGGTAGCCATGGTCCCTATTCCTGTTGGGTGCCCTTTCTGCTCAGTTTTTACCTACTTTTGTCTTCTTTTTCTTTTCATCTCTCCCCCCCACCCACCCACCCAAGATGCTAGATTGAGGGGGTGAACTATTGCCCTCACTCTGATTTGCCTTCAGGCAGCATGGAGGCCAAATTATTGCTGGCATGCAGAGGAGCGAGTTGCTCCACTTTGTCCTCGCAGCAACTCTGCAAGACTGAGAAATAATGACTAGCAGCTACACAGAATCATAATGGAGCCAAATCAGACTGAAGGCAAACATGTCTGCTCTTCTTCTGGGTAAGATAATGGGGTCCCCAGCAGGAGCTGGACATTTATTTACTAAGTTAAAATCCCACCTTTCCTCTAGAAAACTCAAGCTACCAGGTTCTCTCTCTCTCTATTTTATCATTGCAATGACCCTGTGAAAGCAGGTGAGATGGTGACTGGCCCAAGGCCACTCAGTTAGTTTTCTGGCCAAGTGGGGATTTGATACTGGTTTCCCAGTCCAGCACATTAATCAGTAAGTGGGATAGACACATAAGTCCCATTCACAGCCTGCCTGCCCTCATGAAAATTAAAAAAAAAATGAGAAGTGGGCTGTTCACAGACAGCAAACATGGTTGTGAATTTTGCCTGGCCAGGGGTGGGGTTGATTTCGGCTGAGCCTTTTCCAGTTAAGGTTTTGCCAACCTCTCTAGGTCACTAAAGTAACCCCTCCCAGGGACAGGACTCAAACTCTAGGATGCACCCACAACTGTCCTCTCCTTTTTGCCCAGCTCCATCTTGTGAATCCTGACTTCTTTCCCCCTCTCCTCTGGTGGGCTGGCAGCTTTAGAAAAGTGCCATGCAGAACCACAATGGCACAAACAGGATGGGTGACTGACCAGCTCACCTTCTGTATGCCTGTAGTTCACTGGGGCTTGTTGGTGTCTCAGACTCCTTTTAAATCTGCCAGCCTGAAAATCCCAGACTTTGACAATGAGGCCAGACAAATCTGGGTAAGGGAATTATCATAAAGGATTCACTTTCTGTACTGCTTCCCATGTTGCCAGAAACTGACGTGAGTCTGACAAGCAGAACTGATCAGGTGTGAGGAAACAGCTGGGAATCCTCCTGGAGCCTCTGGCTCCAAACAGAAAGCTGCAGAATTTGATCTAAAGAGAGCTAATGGAAATATATGTATTGTGTGTGTAGGCCTGCACAAGCCTTGGGCCAGACAGGGGGATTTAGGCTCCACACAGAGACCTTGGAAGCACCACCTTGTGTTCTTATTCCTTGACCCACATGTCTCATGGAAGATGGAGTATGCCTGTTTTCTCCTGCCCTGGAGGGTAGTATTTGAACCCATGGATTCAAGTTACAAGAAAGGAGATGCCGGTGAAACATCAGGAAGAACAGCAAGAGCTGTTAGGGAGTGGAACAGACACCCACAAGAGGTGGTGAACTCTCCTTCCTTCAAAGTTTTAAAGCAGAGGTTGGATGGCCATTTGTCATGGATGCTTTGCTTGAGGTTCCTGCATTTCAGGGGGTTGGACCAGATGACTCTTGGGGTCCCTTCCAGATCTACAATTATATGCAGTGGCATTGCAGCATTTCCTGGCACCTGGGGTGTGCGCTGGGCAGGGCACGAAGGGCAAATGGAACCCGCCATGCCAGTTCACCCCTTAACACTGACACTACCAAGCAGGTGTGCACTGGGTGGAGTGTGTAGGGTTCACAGAGCTTGCTGCGCCAGCCCAGTTCTCACCACTGGAGCTAAGCAGAGTCGTGCTGCACCACCTGCCTGCCCATGTAGGAGGGAGCCCAGCCAGCCAACATGGGGGCTGGGGACATGCTGGCCAGGTGGGGCGGAACAGGGATCCCTGTGTGGGAGCACCTGGGGCTAGTGCACCTGGGACTAGTCCCCTCCTAACCCTAGCCCCATTCCCATGATTCTGTGAGTCTATGAAAACAATGCTGACAAAACCAGGGCATTTTCTTTCACTTCTCCATTCATTCATTCATATGTCAGTGAATGTTGAAAGCAAAGTCCATGAGTGCAGGTGGTATTTTCCCTTCATAGCCACAGGCTAGTATTTCATCCTCTGCATCAGCAGTGGGGAACCATTTTCAGCCTGAGGACCACATTCCCTTTTGTGGAGCATGCTAGGGGCCACATCCCAGGGCATCAGAGGGAAAAGTGGCTGGAGCAAAAAATGTAAGTGTTGCCTTTGTACAGTAAGCTAGTTTCTACACACACCCACACCCAACTCCATGTCCTCCATCCAGACAAGCAAGAGGCATGGTCTGAGCTGATCTGAGGGCAGATTCCAGCCAGGAAAACAAAATACTTGAGGAAGTGTGAAGAAGGGCCGCTGAGGGCTGTGGCCTGGGGAGAAAGTATGTGGCCTGGGGAGACTCCTAAGGGCCAGAGGGAGAGGGCAGGCATACCACATTCACCCCCCCCCAAGTAAGAGGTGTTCCTACCCCTGCTTAACATTTTTCATCCTGCCCTTCTGCCAAGGAACTCAAGGCATTTTTGCAAAGGTTCTGTTCTAGGAGCCCCTGAAACACACACATGCCTGCAAGGCAGAGGGCTGCTTACTGGGGTCCGGGGAGGTCGTGTGGGGGCTCTTGGATGCTGTGTGACCCTCTTTCTCTCTTCCCAAAGCCTGGTAAGGGAGGAAAACCTGCTGGGTGTACAGGTGAGAAATAAATGAAGAGCATTTACTTATTTTTTACCCCAACTACATAAGGCCGCAAACATGTAAGTAAAGCAAGTGCCAATTGGCGGCTTACTGTAGTCTGATCCATTCAGAAGTGAACCTTCCTAATTCACACTTTCCAAAACAATATGTGGTGAATATATAGCAGCCTTAGGAAATGCCTTGATTTTTGACCTTGAGCCAGAGTAGATGCAAGTCTACCTGCCTTGCAGCCTGACGCCTTCTATGCCTAGCATTGCTATACAGAGTGGACAGAAAAGCATTTGAACTGGACATTCTCTTTTTATATCCGTTTGTGTTCTAAATGGTGCCTTCCAGAGCTTCATACGTCACAGCATAACTTTATAGTAGCTGGCTGATGTGATAAGATTTTCAGCTCAGCAGAATCCAAGCTGAACTACACTCAGTTTTCCATGCCCTCAATTCCTTGCTTATACTATAATCTCACAGTAAGGTTTTGCTGCCACTAGCCACAATCCCTGAACTGCTAATAAATTAAAATAAATTAAAAAAACACAAATAGAACCCATACGCCATTCCTTCTAATAGCAAACTCAGGTGACTCGAGTGCCTATCATTTTGGAAGCAGAATATGGGAGCACCTAAAAATAAGGTAGCAGTTTCTACATATGCAGGAGTCTCCATAGGTACAATGAAGTGTGCATGTTTGTAATTAAAAAGGAAACAAATGAATAAAACAAGACAAAGACCTGTCAGCTTCCAGGATATTAAGAATGTTGAGGGTTGAGTTGGACCTTGAATTTTTACTGTCTCTTTTCTTACGCTCAATTATTTTCAATAGGCCTCCAGCTAATCTTTCCTCAGTATTTACAAGAGAAATTTGTGCAGTCAGCATTGAGCTACATAATGTGCAACGGAGAGGGAGAATATATATGCCGAGACAGCCAGTGTGGATGTCAGTGTGCAGAAGAATTCCCACAGTGCAACTGTCCCATCACCGACATTCAGATCATGGAATACACATTGGCCAACATGGCAAAATCTTGGACAGAAGCCTACAAAGACCTGGAGAATTCAGGTAATGAAGAGGAAAGGAGAAGGTGGTTTTCAAAGGCATTACATACTAAAACTACCCTATACCAGGCCCAGATTTTTGTCCAGCTGGCTGTGTATCATCTGCTCCAACTGACAGCAGCTTATCTAGGGCAGATATAGTCAACAAGGCCATGAGTATCCAACATGGTGCCCTCCAAATGCTGTTGAACTACAACTCCTATCATCCCTGACCTGCAATGCTGTAAGGGGTTGATAGGCGTTGAAATCAAACAACTTCTGGATGGCCACAGTGTCCCCAGTCCTGGTCTAGAAAGTGTATTCTGCACATACTAAAGGAAAGATGGAGAACCTATGGCCTTCCAGATGCTGTTAGATGACAAATCCCATCAGCCATGGTCACTGGCAATGTTGGATGTGGATAATGGGATTTGTAGTCCAATGGTATCTGGAGGGTGTCATGTGGCTTCCCATTCTCTATGGTTTCAGGCAGAGATATCTTCCCTTACCTGGTTCCTGATCATTTTAACTCATGGATGGGAGACCTTGTTTTCAACTTGAGGGCCACATTCTGTTCTGGGCAAACCTCTGGGGAGTCATATACTAGTGATAGGCAGTGCCACTGGCAAAACCAGGCTTGGGGGGAAATGTGAGATTTACCTTTGAATACCAACCCACCCACACCATCCATCCATCTAGGCAAGCAAGAAGCATTATCAGAGTTATTGGGTAGATAGCAGGTCAAAATACTAAAGGAGGGTACAAAGTGAGGATAGTGGGGATGTAGCCTGGGGAAAGTCCCAAGGGGTAGATTTCCCACCCCTGTTTTAACTGGAAATGCCAGGAATTGAACCTGGGACCTCATGCATGCAATATATGGGCTCTACCAATAATTTCATATTCTCCCCAAAGTTTGCCAAACTATAAAAAATAGAAAATTAAAGAGGGCATAATGCTACCCCCCCAAAAAAAAACAAGAACAACAACTCCACCCTTTCTCTGTTCTTGGCTTTATTTGTGTCTTTGTGTATTTCACAGACGAATTTAAATCTTTCATGAAGAGGCTACCTAGCAACCATTTCCTGACCATTGGAAGTATCCACCAGCACTGGGGGAATGACTGGGACCTTCAGAACCAGTACAAACTCCTGCAGAGTTCCATGGAGACCCAACGCCAGAAGATCCAACGCACTGCCCGCAAGCTTTTCGGCCTCAGTATCCGTTGCCGGCACAACCCTAACCACCAGCTGCCGCGAGAAAGGTACTGGTCACCCTTATTTATGTAAGGGGTGATATACTGTATTTAGAGAGTGCTTGGTCCATGCATTAAGAGTTCAACATGCTTATTGTATATCACTTTCTGTGTAAGAAGGGTGCACATCTTTTTTTTATTTGCTCAGAGATTTCAGTAAACAAAAGTAGCAGGAGAGACAACTGCTTTTCTTTCCTCATCTGAGCATTGGTGCAAATTAGGCAAGACTCCAGTTCTCTCTGTAGCACTCTATGCTTACTTGAGCATAAGGGAGACAAATTCAATTCACTTCCCATTTAAGCATGAACCTACGTAATACTCACTTTGCAAAACAGTACATGAACTGAAACAATGCCAATGCTTTTAAATTCACAGTTCTCAAAATTTTGCAGTGCTGTTCTCCAGCCAAGTAATGAACAGGTAACTCGCATTTTCACTTACTTTACTTACATGATCACAGCTTTGTGCAGGTATATGGAGGGCGGGAGGGAAAGTAAGTAAGTAAGCAAGCAAGCAAGCAAGTAAGTAAATGGGTGGGTGGGTGGAGAACTGTGGAAACCCACTCTCCATTTATTTTCCGCATACACCTGCACAAAGCTGGGACTCTGGCAGCATCTCAGAGCCCTCTTGCCACATTCCCAAAACTTGATAAGCAATGCCCACAGCTTTGGAAATGAGGCTCAAGGGTTCTGTCAGGGTCCTAGAGCTCTCCTGTCTCCTTCCCAAAGTTGGGCAAGTGCTTACTGGGATTTAGGATGATGGTGGAAGGGTCCTGAGAAACTGCCAGAGCTCTTGATCTGCCTTCCCTGGGCTCCTGGCTTTATGTGTTTTTTCTTGTATGTATGGACCCCCAGAACCAAATGCTTGAGTAAGATGAGAGTTACCTGTACACAAAAATGCATACACTGGGTTAAAGTGTGCATCTATTAGTGAAACTAACTTAAGAAAGAAAGAAAGAAGATTTATGTAAGGAAAATGCTTTGCAAAAATGCATAGATTATGCAAAATTGTATAAAAATATATGTATTAGGAGAAATTCACACCAAAATTATACATTTTCATGAGGACTTTAAAAAAAAACACACCTCAGAAAGTGATGCAGATTTGTGGTAAAATGAACTTAAAAATGAGAAATGGAGAGAAACTGAAATTGTAAGATTTGTCTAATCTTCCTTCGAGGAGAAAATTGTGGTTTGTCTAGTAATCCAAAATGATATTTGTGAATCCTTGTCCACAGGGCAAGAAATCAGTCTGTACAAAACTGCACAGATTAGAGATAATTGCACACAATATGTATACATTACTGGAAATAATACTGCAAAAATGCATTATGCTAGGGGGAATTGTTTGCAACAATGTGTGGAACAGGAGCAATGTGTATGCAAGTGCCTATGAATTTTAATGCATTTTTAAAGAAAAATTGCAAACTGATTCATAAATGGGGCAAATAGTACAAAAGATTTGAAAAATTAAAAATGGATAGGGGATAAATGACAGGTTTGTCCATCCTCTACTTGTGTACATGAATGCAGGAGGAGACTCCTAGGTATTTGGTCAGCATTATAGACGAGTGGCTTCTCCTTGTCCCATTTTGTTGGTAGGAGGACTGTACTGCAAAATTGGAGATGTGCAAATTTTGACACATACAAAGGTCATCAATCCTGGATTGCCCTTGGTGCCCATGTGCCTCCTTTCTCTTTCTCTCTGGAGAAGTAAATAGAGTTGGGAAAGGAAGGCAGAAAAGTGGCCCCTTTCCCACTTCCTCTTTTAGCTCTATGTGCTCAGAAGTATTCTACTTGCTCTCAATTTTATCCATACCATTTGATAAAGCAAAGTGTGTGGTGCATGTGTGTGTGTGTGTGTCCTTTATCTTTCTGTGCCAGGGGTAGGGAGACATCTGGTCCAGGAAGCAGAAACATAAGAAAAGCCTTCTGGATCAAGCCAATGACCCATCCAGTCCAGTGTCCTATTCTCAGAGTGGCCTGTAAGCTGGACATGAACCCACCAGAAATCCCCAGTAACTGGTATTTAAAAAAACTGAATGGCATAGTTGAAGAATCTCTGTTCTCCAGAAATAGCTGTATTCAAAGCCAGCAATATCTGGGGCACTTACAACAGCAATCATCTCCACTTGATGTGCTAAGAACCTAAGAAGAGCCCTGCTGGATCAGACCAAAGGTCCATTTAGCCCAGCATTTCCATGTTTCACAGTGCCCAACCAGAGGCCTCTGGGAATCTCACTGTCCTGGTTCCCACCTGGCTCTTGCTCGTAAAATTGTAGAATCATAGAATTGTACCCAAAAGGTCATCTAGTCCAACTCCCTGCAATAAAGGAAATACAGCTAAATAGCGTGATTATCAAACTCTCAGTGCTTCCTCGGTGTTTCTAATAGGATTTTCATTATTATTCATTTTGGGAGTTGTTCGAAGTTCGAAGTTGAAAGTGAGTGGAAGTGCCATGACCCTCTCTCTCTCTCTTTGTTTTCCTTCAAGTGACCAGAGTATGGTGGTTCCATTGCACTCAGTCAAAAATCCAAATATGCCCACAAGCCTAGAAAGTTGACAACACTTGACACATTGATTTCAGGGAGTGATGATTAGTTTGGTTCACATTAAAATGTGAACCAATTTTCTCCCCTATCTTTAGGAAGCAGGCAAGCTGAGTCCAGTTAGAACAGGAGGCAGTTTTTCAAGTGGCGTAGGTTTCAGATTATGACAGCAACTTAGGGGAGAAAGTTAGTGTGTTTTCTTCAACAGATATCCAGACTCAGCTTCACGGTCCACTGTTCAGCCTCTGTCTTTGCCACACATCTGACATGAGTTTACTAGAATATACCTTGCACAAAATTAGACCCAATATGGCCCCATACTGGGGCAATTTTGACTGTGTGAATGCCCCGACCGAGACAGCAGCATTTAATATGTGCCGCTGACTTTGAAAAGATGGAGTGGTTAGATTAACAGCGTGACACTCTCTGTCCCATTCACAAAGGTCTAATAGAAATAGCATGTTCTATATTCAATTATAGCCTAAAGGAACGTGCTGACACTCAACTGCCCTTCCGGAAATGAAGCAGAATAGAGCTGAATGCTGAAAGGGAAAGTTGTGTTCAGCCAATTTTAATGGTGCAGGAAGGTGTGAATCCAGATTTTTAAAAATCTATACTCCCTCCCAGTTTCACTTTTTGTTTTTTTATCTATAGATTTTGTTTGCCAAACAAGCAGAGCAAATGAAGTTAATTAAAAAAATAAAATTCATAGTGACTCAAATGGAAATTGAATCAAATGCTGGATTCATTTTCTTCTCTCTCTTTTTTGCTGACCTGTTTGTGTGATTTCTGAATGGGCAGGCTGATGCATAGTTTGCCTCAGGGAAGGCTGCTAACTTTGCAGGGTGGAGGGGAGTAATAGATTTAAGAGCTCTGAGCTTGACTGAAGATTTATGGGCCTGTTGTGCTTTGGGTTTTGTTTTGCTTTGCTTTTTTCGTTTTGTGAGAATGCGAGAGTAGCTGATGCAGGCGGATGAAATATGGCAAATGGCAATATGATGATGAAGAGGAGCTTCTGCAAAGTCAGATCAGATGTTCAACACTATATATTGAAATATTTGTGGGATTCAGCTAGGATCGCATGTAGAATGGCCGTTTACCATCTTGCCGGTTGTGGCCCAGTGCGATGCCTCCTCTCTTGCATGACACACAGTGCAATTTTTGAATGTTTCTCCATCCCCTCCGGCCACCGCAGAGGCTCATGGGCTCCCATCAAACCCGTCCTTCAAATGAGCCAATCCGTGGTGGTCCAGGGGTGGGGGGTGGGGCATAGCCATTTATTGAGCCCAGCCAACCACTCAGCACAGCATTCAGTTGGCCGGGAGAGTCACCCACCTTTCCCCTCCCTTCATTAAGAGTTGATTATTGCTCTAACCATATCTTTTCAGCTAGCCAGGCTTTGCTGTGGTCTTTTGATGGGTACTGTATTCAGAGCCAGGAAGGAATTTTCCCTGCTCTGCAGGTTTTGCCTTCCCCATAGCATTAGTCACAACTTTGGTGATTTAGGCCTTGGGCAGAATCCTATAGTCTTTCATCCAACTGGGGTGTGGTGAAGTGTTGACTCATCTACCCCCTGTTAATGGTGACATTAACAGGGTACCCCATTAGAGGGGTCTGGAGGGAAGTCTCTGTCCAAAAAGCTAGTTGTTAGGGCTAGCGGGCCATAGAGCTTACCTGAGCATTTGGGGGCCATCCGCATAAACTTGCGTTTTGTGATGGATCCACCCCCACGTACACCCTGTTGTGCGTCAGTCCTCCAGCAGGGGAGGGGCTGAGGGGAATACACACCCAATGCACATGCCAAGGCTTCCTATATCTGAAATCAGTAAAGTTGTGTCCATTTCAAATACCAGACAGTTGTGTCCATTCATTTTACCCCTCAGCAGTTAGGCGTGCTGGGCAGGGGGATTCTGCTTCTGGGCACCCCACCAAAGCACCACTTTCCTGCATCTTTTTCTTCCTCTACCACCTAAAGCCTAGTAAGTGAGGAAAACTGCTGGGTGCATGGGTGAGGAAAAAATAAATAAATTGAGAGAAGTGGGTGGTAGGTTTCCCCACGTCTCCATTTTTTATTTTATCCCCCCTTCCATGAAAGCTTGTGATTGCATAAGTAAAGTGAGTGCAATATGTAAGCTCACTGCATGCAACAATGTGTAAATCCATCAAAATTTACATACAGAAAAATTTGCACTACAGGAGAAATTTGCACTAAAATTCTGTGAAAATGTGGCTTAGATGCATCCTTATGGCTTAGAACCAGGCAACACCTTCACAGATGGGAGCAGACCTTCTGCTCCAGCGGAGTGTGCAGTTGCAATCTCAGCATTCCTTTAAACACAAGAGTCTTGCAAGTGAGCAATCATTGAAAGCTTGATGAGTACAGAAAGGAAAATGGTTGGGGTACCTTTGGCATTTCCATCCATTTCTGAACTTCTTGCATTGCTCCTGAATCATGACTCACGGGTGCTGTGTCTGCTGCCAAGTCTGTACTGTTACTTGGCTGAATAAATACAAGTAAGAGCTTCTGTCTGCACATTTTGGGTGGGAGCCAGGACAGTGAGATTCCCAGAGGCATCTGGTTTGCCGCTGTGAGAAACGAAGATGCTCGTCTAGATGGACCTTTGGTCAGATCCAGCAGGACTCTTCTTAGGTTTCTTTCAAACCAAGTGGAGAAGATCACTGTTGTAAGTGTTTTAACACAGCTATTTTAACACAGCTATTTCTGGAGAATGCTGCCTTTAGCACAGGGGTGGTGAATCAGTGGCCTGAGGTCCAGATCTAGCCCCAGGGGTACAAAAATGGTTTTATTGGCCGAGTACACTGTATGTACATTGAGCCCTCCAACCCACTTGCGAAGTATGAAAGTCCATGTGCTACTTTTTTTTTGGGGGGGGGGGTTCTTTAACATCCACCCATACTTATCATGCAGTAGTATTTGCAGAAAATAATTTCTAGGGAGTACCTGATCTCAGGGGAACCCACCACAGGAAGGATGTGTCCTGGTTGCTAGATGGGGAAAAGAAGAACACAATTTCCAAGGAGTAGAAAATGAGACAGAAGCACCTAAAAGGGGAGGGGGAAACAGCAGCTGTTTAGGACCCCAAGGATTCCTTTTGCCCAGTGTCAAAACAACTCATTCATCAATCACAGTTCTGGCTTCACTTACTGGCTAAAAACGCTAAAAGACTGGAACAGCCAGGCTGGCTCATCTCACAGAAATTGCTTAGCTGAGTACATTTTGCTTCATAACCTTGAGAGAAGTAGGTCCCTGCTGGTTCTGAACCTGGTTCATCAATACCCACTATATCGGTCTCTTGGGTTATCTATCCAGCCCATGAAACCCCTTCTAGTGACCTGCCAACCCTCTGCTAAACTCACACATTTATTACATTGGAAAAATACTTCTCACTCTGGCACACAACCATTAGTAGAAAACCATAGAGGCTCAGGAAACAAAGCACAGGGCTTTCTTTCACCCCATCACTATGGTGGGCTATGCTGTGATGTGGGGAGGGGAGCATCCTTTCCTCCTAGCCCATTGCTGTGATGGGGAAGGCTTCCCTCCCTCCTCCCCTGCACCAATGCATGCACCTCTGGTGATTTGTAGGTGATGAATGGGGTGCCTGAATATGTGTACATCTGTATGTGCCTGTCTGAGTGTGTGTGTGTGTGTGTGTGTGCGCCTGTGTATTTGCACTCTGAGTGTGGTGAGTGTGTGTATATCTTCTAACACACAGTGTGTGTTGGACACCTTGGCACAACCCATTGCTAGGAAGTAGTCATTAGAGAGCTGATCACCCTTAAGTTTGTCCCTCATGCTGAAAATGGTTAGTCACATGTTCTTTTAAATACAATCTAAATTTGTCCCATTCTCTACTGAAGTTTTGATCCTCCTGATTTCTAATTTTCCCTGTCAATCTAGCCATCTTTGCATAGTCCTGTAGTTTCATCTGCCAGTCTGCCTTCATGGAATATATTCAGAAAGCACCTCTATGAATGTGCACCTACTTGCAAAAGAAAAAAGAAAGAATTTAAGAGAGTTTTTGTTTTGAGGGGGACAGCTATGAGTCTCCCTTCCCTTTTTGTCAGTGTTGCTACACAACTCTCAATTATATTCCCTTTGGCCATTCCAGTGGTATATAGTATTTCTTCTTCAGATTGGGGTGTAGTTGTGCTGATTTTGACATGGAAATAGAAAGCAATCAAAATCTCTGAGAGAATCCCTTCCTCTATGAAATATCCCTTCCTCCATGAAATATCCTCAGAGGGTAATTCTGTTGGTCTGTTGCACTGGTTTTCAACCAGTGTGTCGTGGCACCATGGGGTAGTTTGAATGATGGTCATGGGTGCCGTGGGCAACACTGGCATCTGTTCCTCTTTCCTTCCCTCCTTCCTCTGATGCCTTCTTGCATTTCTGCCTCCCAAAGACTTCTACAGCTGAATGGTGCCTCTGTGACTGGCCAGAGGGTGCTGGTTGCCAGGTTGCCAGGAGCTGAGGCGGCCTCAGAGTAAGCAAGCAAGCAAGTGAGGGTGAGGGAGCCCAGCCACCCAGTCCACCAACTCTTGCTGTTGGGAATGGACAGACAAGTGCCAGGCCCCTGTGAGGAGGCACCTCTCTTTGGGGAGAGGTGGGCAGCTCAGAGACCAGAGGCGGCAGCTACTGCTGCCCAGAGGACACCCAAGGAGAGGGGAGAGGAGAGGAGGCTGAGGGAACACTCCACAAGGGAGGGTGTTTGAAAAAGGGTGAGAGGCTGCCAGCTCTGCAGGGAAGGGGGACATAACTGGGCTCCTGAGCCCCACGGGTGCTGCAGAAAGAATGCAGTTGGTCAAGGGAAACCTTTGGTCTATTGTATCAAATACAGGGAGGTGGAGTATTGTGGCGCCTTAAAAGCTAACAGATTGTGTAGCCCCTCTGCTTTGCCTGTCATTTACTGAGCTTCTCTGATTCCATAGAGGGGCTCTGTATAAATTGGATCCCATTCCCTATCTTCCATCTTCGGAGGTGCATTCTCAGAATGCATTATGTCAGGTTAGCTTTTTAAATGCCAAAAGATTCTGTGTTTTCTGAAATGCATCCTTGCCTTCAGCAAAAATGTGGAACTGTCCTTGGCAGAGACTAAGAAGGTGAGTTCTGCAGTGTTAGCCATTGTTGATGTGGCTTTGTTGCTGGGCTTGTTCTGTGAGAACAATATTTATCGATTTCAGTGTCTCTCCCCCCACCCCCCCATCCAGTGCATTGGCTTCCTTCTACCTCGCAGGAGAGGGAGAGGGGGTGATAGACTCTAGCAGCTTCAGCACAAGCGAGACATGTGATAAAAGTCCTTTCACACTTCCAAAACCCTCTGGAAGCACATAACTGCTGATTCATTTTCTCCTTACTCCCCACTCTCTTTCTCTCCATTTTCTCCTTCCTTCTGGTCTTCCTTTTCAGGCAGCTTTGGGCTGTTTCACTGGCAGGAGGGGCAGTGAACGGAAGTGCCTCATGTTCCCTGTGCACTTCCATGTTGCTGAATATGTATTATGTCTGCACAGGATGAAATGTGCAAATTGGTTCTGCCTGGAAGAGCAAATGCCGATGGGTAGCCCCACTGTGCAGGAAGCTATGGGAAAAAGAAAATTAGGTCCAGGCTAGTGGGTGCAGAACTGACTCATTTTTCAGCTGCTGAGGCAACAACAGCCTGACTGTTGAGGCAGTGAGTGACTGTCTCTCTCTCTCTATCACACCTAGGAGGGGAGAAACATCAGGCTACAGCCACTAGACTTTGCAGTACTCCCCCTATCTAGGAGCAGAGGGTGGCCACCTTCAGCCTAAGACTACATCTGACTCATGGCCTAATTTCTTTTAAAAACACATACACAAATAAATAAATAAAACATATTATAACAGACAGACATAAATACAAGTGAGCAAACACAGTTATACTATCCAAATCTCCAAGTGGTGAGAGAATCCAAGGATTACAGAAACTTCCCAAGTTTGGGTTCCTTGGAATGAAAGTCAGACTGTTGTGTCTCCAACAGGCACTACAAACTGCCCAAGCTGCCATGGAGAGGCAACAGGATGCTCCCTCTCAGCCACCACAGTCACTCAGGACAAGTGCCAGCTCATCCTCCTCCCTGAGTTCAGTGGTGACAGCACTGGTGGGGAAAAGAGGGACATTATGGAATCAAATCAGAAGCTGGGATGGCTTGTGTAATTCCAGAACTCTCCCTGGAAAATAGGGACAGTTGTAGGGTATGGAATTATAAATTAATTTAATGTGGCAAACAGGGAAATAACTGGGGCGATAGCTGTCAGAGAGAGAGATGAGGGGTGTAAGAGAGGGAGGAAGGAAGGATTGTAGAGAAAAGAGGATGGTGGGTGGGGGGGGAATCCTTCTGGGATAGCTCAGTTGGTCAAGCATGAGATTCTTAATCTCTGGGTTGTATGTCCAATCCCCATCATGGGCAGAAGATTCTGGCATTGCCAGGGGTTGGATTAGATGACCTTCATGATCCATTCCAACTCTACATTTCTGTGATTTTGTGAAACCTTCTCAGGCCCTATCCACATTTAGCTGAAGCCCTGCCCACTTTTGACTCTAACCCTGCCAACTATCGAGTATGTTGATCCTGCCCTAAGTCATGGATGGGTCCTACCAGAAGATCCAAGTTGGCCCATGAAGCAAATTCCCTAGCCCATACACTGCGAAGAACTTGCTGGTGAGTTCAGCCAGCAGGAATGAACCCTCTGCTCATTTCCAAGTGAGTTAAGGGATCAAGCTTACTTCACCAGTGCTTTCCCCATAGGGCCCTGCTCACCCATCAAAGTTGGCCAAAAGCATGGAAAGAAGATAAAAATCTGACCCACTAGGCCAGAAAACGTCCCCATTCTTGCCTTAAGCAATGCAGCCCCCAGTAGAAAAGAGGGATTCCCGATTCATGAGCGAAAGCTTTCCTTGCAAATAGGGTTTGTGTTAGAGGAAGCAGGGCAGGGGAAGAGCTTGTAAGATGTATATGAAGATGAAGGGAGAATATGAAGATGAAGAGAGAAGTCAGGCAGCAGTAGCAACATATCCAGAGCAAGCTTGAGAGCCAATGTGGTACAGTGGTTAGAGTGTCAGACTAGAATCTGGGAGATCAGGGTTCAAATTCCCCACTCAGCCATTCCCCACTTGGTGCCCTTGGGCCTGTCACTGCCTCTCTGCCTAACCTATCTCACAGGGCTGATGTGGGGATTAAATGGGGAGGGGGGGACACTGCATGCCACCTTGAGCTCCTTGAAGAAAAAGGTGGGATAGAAATGCAATCTATAACTTAGTAAGCTGGGAAGTGAGGAGGAGATTGTGTTGGGATACTTTTACTTTCCTTGGTATATAATAGATAGATAGATAGATAGATAGATAGATAGATAGATAGATGATAGAGTATAATGGTTGTTAGCTGGCTTGAACACCTTGTGGTGGAAAGGTGCCATATAAATTTCAGCAAATGAATAAATAAGTCCTATCTTCCTTCTCCGCTGTGTCAGCCAGAAGAAGGGTCCCATGTGGGGGTTTCAAGACACTCCACCCTTCACACCCACATCCAAGTCTTGTTATGCTTCAGAAGATATGAGAGGCAGAGGAGGGAGAGAGGAAACATTTCAGGGGATTGGACTATGTTACCCATTGGACCCCTTCAAACTATACAATTCTCTGATTCCTGCATTGGAGGTTGGGCTGAATGATCTTTTAATTACATATCTAGTCTTATCATTCCAAGCCCTCATTCTCCCTCATCATCTTGAGGGGTTCTGATGTCTCTGCGTTTCTCCACCTTTTGTTTCCAGTCTTCTTTAAATTATACATGCCCATCCATTTCCCATCCTCCCACGCCAACTCCATGTCTCACCACCCCAATTCCTCCCCCTTCCCATCTCCCTCCCTCAATTTGCCTTGCTCTTCTGTACTATTGTGTCATTTTTAAATCTGCCTTTGATACAGCACACAACCTAATGATTATTCTGGGGTCAAGCTAGGCAGGTGCCGTGAATCCTACTAATCCGACTCTCAGAACCTCCGTCTGTAATCACTCCTCCCAATCTGCAGGGATGGCATCCTAATTTCTCATTAGTAAGTGTCTTGTCGCTGCTGAGCTGCTGAGAATTCTCAGCCTTTGGGGAAACAATGAGGCATTCATTAGCACAGCCAGGGAAGAGGGGGGAGTTGGAAAGAGTTCTTTGGACAGGAGGAAATGATGGTAGAATTATGAAGTCCTGGAAAACTGTGACTGCTCTGTTCAGGGTGGTCCACTTGTTAGTCCCATCAGAAGAGGGCTAGCTGTAATCTGGTTAGGATTCAACAATAGGAGGTTGAGTTCTGAAGCAGGAGTGGCAGACTTGACGTGGCCCTCCAGATGTAGGCCAATGAGTATGATGTCCAAATAGTGTTCTCCTTCATTGGAAGTTTTTAAACAGAGGTTGAATGGCCATCTGTCAGGGGTTCTTCTGTTGTTATTCCTGCATTGCAGGGGGCTGGACTAGATGACCATAGAGCTCCCTTCCAGCTCTACAGTTCTGTGATTCTATGAATGAGGGGCTCCCAAATGGTCATGCTGAACACTACACCACACTGGCTGGCAGTCAGACAGGCAAAATAAGATATACTGTGAGGTGGGTGGTAGACTAAATGCACACATTTATGTATGATTGTTCTTGAAAGATTTTATTGGCGCACAGGTTGGTTGCACTCAGTGTCTTGCTTCTAATTGTAGCAAGGTAAACTATGGGTAGTGGTGGTGGTTGCAGAATCTTTCCCCAATAATCCATTTTCATGGGTTATTTGGTTTAAAGGGGAATGGTATGTGTGTATGTGTGTGTGTGAATATTTGTGAAATTATGCAGGGCACAGAGAATGTGAATGGGTTGGTTGCCAGTGTTATACCTATTTAGGGTATAGCCATTGAAATTGATGGCATGACTTACTCTGATGGGTCTACTCTGAGTAGAGCTTTGACGGATTAAACACAACCCAGTGCAGAACAGTCACATAATACTCAGCGCTGTTTAGGGAAATATTTTTTTTAAAAAAAAGATTGATGTTTTGATGTTATTTTTAATCTCATGTTGGAAGCTGCCCTGAGTGGCTTGGGAAACCCAGCCAGATGGGTGGGGTATAAGTAATAAATTGTTGTTTTTGTTGTTACTCTGCACTTGTAAGAAATCAGCATTTTAATGTGGCAGGATCTACACTTTGGAACTCCTTGCCTATTGACAACTTCCACTTATCTACTTCATTTCTCTCACCTCTACTTTGTGGCATTGAGTTAAAATGATACCCTAGAAAGCTGCCTTTAGAAATTTGGAGTTCATGCCCCTGTCTTTCTCCCTTATAGGACAATACAGCAATGGCTGTCCCGGGTTCAGTCCCTGCTCTACTGCAATGAGAACGGGTTCTGGGGAACCTTCCTGGAAAGTCAGAGGAGCTGTGTCTGCCATGGAAGCACCAGCCTGTGCCAGCGACCGATCCCGTGCATCATTGGAGGCAACAACAGCTGTGCCATGTGCAGCCTGGCCAACATATCGCTCTGTGGCTCATGCAACAAGGGCTACCGTCTCTCACGGGGTCGATGTGAGCCTCAGAATGTGGACTCAGAGCGCAGTGAGCAGTTCATCAGCTTTGAGACGGACTTGGACTTCCAGGACCTGGAGCTGAAGTACCTCCTGCAGAAGATGGACTCTCGCCTGTATGTGCACACCACCTTCATCAGCAATGAGATCCGCCTGGACACCTTCTTTGACCCGAGGTGGCGCAAGCGCATGTCCCTCACCTTGAAGAGCAACAAGAACAGGATGGACTTCATTCACATGGTGATTGGGATCTCCATGCGCATCTGCCAAATGCGCAACAGCAGCCTGGATCCCATGTTCTTTGTCTACGTTAACCCATTTAGTGGAAGCCATTCTGAAGGCTGGAACATGCCCTTTGGAGAATTTGGCTACCCACGCTGGGAGAAAATCCGCTTGCAAAACAGCCAGTGCTATAACTGGACCCTGCTGCTTGGGAACAGGTGGAAAACCTTTTTTGAGACTGTCCACATCTACCTACGCAGCCGGACTCGGCTGCCCTCCCTGATGCGCAATGAGACTGGCCAAGGGCCCGTGGACCTCTCTGATCCCAACAAGCGTCAGTTCTACATCAAGATCTCAGACATTCAGGTGTTTGGATACAGCTTACGCTTCAATGCTGACCTCTTGCGCAGTGCAGTGCAACAGGTCAACCAGTCTTACACACAAGGCGGGCAGTTCTACTCCTCCTCCTCCGTCATGCTCTTGCTTTTGGATATACGGGACCGAATCAACAGACTGGCACCTCCTGTAGCACCAGGGAAGCCCCAGCTGGATCTGTTCTCCTGTATGCTCAAGCACCGTCTGAAACTGACCAACAGTGAGATCATCCGTGTGAATCACGCACTGGATCTGTACAACACCGAAATCCTCAAGCAATCAGACCAGATGACTGCCAAGCTCTGCTAACCAAGACTTTATGTACTTAGGTACTACCAGACTCACCTTTTTGCTGTAAAAAACAAACACAAAACCCCCAACCCAACATTAAAAAAGAAGTTAAAAGAAAGAGATTTAAACAAATAAAAAAAAATGTAAAATGTAATTAATATACGAGAGAGAGAGAGAGAGAGAGAGAGTGATGGAAAGGTCTTTGTTTATTGGAATACTGAAAGAAAACCATTCAAGCAAATATGTAAAACTGCCGGGCATGTTTAGTTATTCCTGTAATCATTAAAAAGGGTCAGAACGTGAAAATCTGCTGAGGTGTTGCTCGGTGGGATTGGGAGTAAACAATATGGGATGGGGGAGGGAATTACAGAACATGCAGAAACGGCTTTTTTGAGATTCCCTGTACTTAATTGTAAAGATTTCAGCTATGCAGGTGCCAAAAAGAAAGAAAACCAGAGTGAGAAAGAGAGAATTCTGTGTAAATGTACCAAGAGTTGCCATTTCTCCTAATGGGAGCTAATGGCCAAAGATAAAAGAAATTTCTTTTGTGAAGTGTTACGGAAGCTTTATTCTCAGTCATTTCCCTCACCACTCTAGGATGAGTTTGACGACGACCATGCCTACTACTCTGATTTGCATTGCCAAAGGGTATAATTTTATGGTTTGGAATTAAGGGTTTACCCAGCCAGTAATGCCTGGATGTGCTACAAACCACAGTGATAATATCTTTCAGAAGTTATTTTGCATCAGGGATGGGGAGACCTCTGGCCTTCCAGATGCTGTCAGACTCCAACTATTGTCAGTCCCAGCCAGTAAGGCCAATGATCAGGGATGACAGGAGCTGTAGTCCAGAGGTGAAGAATCATTTTCACCCCAAGAGTCACATTCCCTTTGTGGCAGTGGCAGTGGGTGCGGTCCGCCCTGGGTTTCATCCCTGAGGGGGGTGACATCGCCGTGCCATCCCCCTGGGATGCTCGCCACTTGCCGTGGGTGGCACCGCCCCGGAACACTCGCCGCTCACTGCAGGCGGCACCCCCCCAGGACGCTAGCACTGTCCCTGGGTGCACATCATGTGGGTGGCTCCAGGTGCCAGAGCAGCTAGCTCTGCCTCTGCCTTTGGGGCAACCTTCTGAGAGCCACATGATAGTGGTGGATGAGCACAGAGACAAAAGCAGGCAAAGCAATGAGAATGAAGTTTTTGCCTTCGTACAGCAAGCTAGTATGTGTACAGTACATACACACTCCCTCTCCCTCCCTCTCTTTTTTTCTCTCTCTCTCTCCTCAAGAAAGCCAGGCATCAACAGAGCATCCCAGTAAGACAAAAACACCCAAATAGGGTGCAAAGCAGAGATCGTAAGGGATGAATCTAGAGAGGGTGTGTGGTCTGGAGTGGGTCCCAAGGGCCGGATAGAGGGGCTTGGGGGGCTGTCTTCACCGTCGTAGGGCCAGAGTTTCCTCATCGAGAAGGCCACACATTCCCTGCCGCTGTTCTACAGCCTGGAATTCAACGTGAATGCTTTTTTCTTCAACATCTGAATCCTCTGCATATTTACTCTAAGGTGAATCTCCCTATCTTCAGGGGGTGGGTGGGGGGACTTTATCTGAAGTAAATAGGCAGAGGGAGGCAGTTCCAGAAAAGAAGAAATCCTATGGATGTTTCATGGTGCTTGGCACATTTATTTCCATGTAAGTACATGGAGGATGGCAACCATGTAGTGCAGTTATATGCACATCTACTTAGAATTAAGGCTATTGAGTTTAGAGGGATTTATTTGAAGTAAGTGGGATGGTGTAAGCAAGCAGTAATGACGGGTTGACGACATGGCACCAGCAGCTGCACATGTGCCCTCAAAGACCTTCTGTAGAGCCCACATGGCCTCTGCCACCACCTCTCCCTCACTGAAAGCAGGCTTGAAAGAAGCATAATGTTCTGACCAATAAAATAGGTTATGGGGTGTGTGACAGTTTTTCATGTTTGCATATGTGCTCAAGTGCCCAAAAGGTGGTGATCCTGCCCTAAATCCTTCCTTCCTCCCTCCCTCCCTCCCTCCTTTCCTTCCTAGATGACCCCAGGGACCTCTTCCAACTCTGCAATTCTATGATTCTTTCTCTTCCACCTTTTTTCCTTCTGCCTAGGTGTGGAAACTAATTTAAAACTGTTGGGAGAGGGGAGGAAATGAAGTTTTTGTCTTTTCTTTTTCACGTTTCCCCAGTGACCGCTTGTAATTGCTGACTCTATTCAGAACCATGCCAGTGGTGGTGGAGGTGAGGGGACTGGTTCATCACTAGGAGTAATCTGTAGAGAATCCCTTCATGTGAACTTTCTCTCCTCTTCTTCATTTGCCAGAGGAAGATCAGTTTGGTCCAGCTTACGCAAAAGATACTGTTGTAATGTGTGTATGTATGGTGGCAATGGGGACTTACCAGGTCTGAGGTTGGAAGAATTTTGGCTAGCAGGAACAGTAGTGACTGGAGTGGTGTTCATATAAAGTCACTTAACATTTATGGGGGTGGTCAGGATCTCACCTGCTAGACCCCCCCCCAAAAAAAAACCTCCACGTCAACACACATACTAGCTGTGTACTGAGGAGTGCATGTTCACCACTTTAATGGAAAAGAATCCTATATACAAATCATTATATACATGCCCATAATGTGTGTGTGTGTGTGTGTGTGAGAGAGAGAGAGAGAGAGAGAGAGAGAGAGAGAGATGGAGGGATTGTGCATCATGGGCCAGTGTTTATGCTAATGAGAACCACATGATGCGGTAGTGGAACGTATATATGCCCTGCATAACATCCCAGGTTCAATCCCGGAAATCTCCAGGAAGATCTAGAAGAAAACAGTCTCTGAAACACTCAAGAGCCACTGCCAATAAGGGAAGTAATTACTGAGTTAGATGGACCAATGGTCTGCGGCTATACAAGGAAGTTTCCTATGTTCTCAAAGAGCTGTATCTTATTCAGCTGTATGTGCACATAGCCCTTTCTCATGAAAAGTGAATTCATGAACACCCACACAGATTTTCTCATTAACACTGAATGTGTGGCTGCTGGGGAGTGTGGGAGCATGCAAAACTTTGGTACCCTAGTCAAGTAAGGGAGATTATATTATTCTGCTGGGCGGTCAGTGGTGCACAGTCCCTGTGCAGCAGAATGACCACACTTTGAAGTACAGAAACAGAAGAGCAACACAAGGCTTTGTGGGTCCTTGATAAGACTTTGGGGTGGGGTGTTGGCATTGCGCTTCAACTCGGAAAGGAGAAAGGTCCTTAAGTCATTCCATCGGCGTCTTTATTCAGCCTCCCCACATACATAATTCACACCCATAACTCTTGAGATGGGACCAGTCTAAGAAATGTTGGCAGACCCAAAGAATCAGGCCACATTTGGGGGCCTAGGAGGTAGGATAGCACCAACATCAGGCAGGTCATGTGGCAACAGTGAGAGTGACTAGTAACAGATTGGCTGTTGCCCACCAGTTTCACTATGCCCAGCAGCAGGACCACTCCTGCCTGAGGATCATAAGAGATCCCACACAACTGGCAGCTGAAGGACAGGTGAAAATTGCAGAAGCAGCCTCTGCAAATTCCCACTTCCTACTTCAGTGGCAGGAAACCTTAGACCTGGGTACCAAATGCATCCCTCAATCCCCTGTCCAAGCCATGCCCTTCAGTGTCCCTGCTCTGCACCCTATAGCAATCCTACCTGCCTGGAATGTATCCTTGAACTGTGATAATACCTCTTGCTTGCCTGAATGGAGAGTGGTGTGCATTTGGTTTGTGGCCCTTGAACTGAGGAAGGTTCCCCATCTCTGGCCTATCTGATGTCCACCAATGTGCATTCTTGGCCCAGATGCCTTGCAGTTGCAAGCTGCCATCTTATATTCTTCACTATCTCAGCTTTCAGCAACATGGTGACCTCCATGTTTTTTGGACAAAAACTCATTTCAGTCCCATCCATTATAGTCCTGGGAGTTGCAGTCCAAAACATCTGAAGTACACATGGAGGGTGGAGGCTACTCTAGAGCAATGCTACAATGAGTGTTCTAGGGCATTTAATACTAAATGACTACTCACAGCTGCCCACTGATGTAGAAAGGGGAGGATGGGAGACCAAAGGTCTTGTCAAACTTGTAGCTGGCAAAGCTCTCTAAGGGATTGTTGTTGTTGTTGTTGTTTTTATGTATTTATACCTTGCCTTTTTCCCTGACAGGACTCAATGCGACTTACAGATAAAGCGTAGAAAATACTATCATTAAAACAGCAATAGAATTAAAACTAGAGAGAGAAAGAGAAAGAGAGATTCTACAGAGAGAGAAAGCTTAAAAGATACAGATAATTACAATAAAAACAGCACAGCACCAGCCCTTTCATTCAAACAGTCAGTTCCTCAAAGCTTGTTGCAACAAGAAAGTCTTCACCTCTTGGTAGAAAGACAGCAAGGAGGGAGCCAGTCTGGTTTCTTTAGGGAGGGAGTGGCAAAGTCTAGGAGCAGCCACCAAGAAGGCCCTCTCCCACGTCCCCACCAAGTGTGTTTGTGAGGGTGGAAGGACTGAGAGAAGGGCCTTCCCTAAAGATCTCAAAACCCAGGCAGGTTCATATGAGGGAATACAGTCTTTCAGATAGTGAACGTGTGCTGCATTCCTGGTGCTGCTGGGTTGAGGGGGTCTCTGGGTGGCCAAGAGGTGACTAACATGATAGAGGGAGGTGAAAGGGTTCTGAACGGATATACAGTGGTACCTCGGGTTACAGACACTTCAGGTTACAGACTCCACTAACCCAGAAATAGTACCTCAGGTTAAGAACTTTGCTTCAGAATGAGAACAGAAATCGCACGGCGGCAGCAGGAGGCCCCATTAGCTAAAGTGGTACCTCAGCTTAAGAACAGTTTCATGTTAAGAATGGATCTCCAGAATGAATTAAGTTCTTAACCCAAGGTACCACTGTAGCTGGTTGTTGTTTTTAAAGAAGTTGGCCCAATCATATTTTGTCTGGTCAGCACACCTTAGAGCAAGGA